TGTGTGTGTGTGTGTGTGTGTGTGTGTGTGTGTGTGTGTGTGTGTGTAATACGTATTGTATGTCGGATAGGGGTACGTGTATTTCCTGTAATCGCACCGTATAATATAAATAAATTGACTGGGGAAGAAAATGTGTTATGGCGGTGGCTGTATAGTCGGTTTAAACGTGATGACCGCGAGATGCTTGTTGGAAAACCTTGAATTTCGTGAGAACCGTATGCTCGAAAAACTCGGTGATTCGCACAGTCAATAGTGTTCACCGTTATTCAAAAATTACCAGAAAATACTGGCAGATTTTTAAATTAAAAAAAAAAAAAAAAAATCATCGGCCCACGAATGACTGCAGCGATGGGTTATTGGTGATAAGAGAAGCGCGTGATCTTCGCACTGTATCTCCTATTCCTATAAAGGTACAACAGACTTTTCGCTTTGTATTAAATATAGTACATTATAATGATGTTATCACGACACGCCTCTTTCGAAAGTTGTTTCGTGCGTTGGATTCGATAAGCTATTTTCAAAACCAATAAGGTCCTTCGTTTTCGACGGTTAAACGATATGGAAAATAAGTCAATCAAACCGGTGGACAGTGATGTATACAATACGTATAGTGTCCTGTATACATTGTGATGTGTTTTCCTGTATTATTATGTATAGATAGTAATCGTATTCTTCAGATGGTCCGCCCGCGTGTGTTCATAAAAGTGATTTTAACCAGGACTCGCATATTATTGCCGCACCGCTTGACGATAAATCCTTCTTGTACATTGCACATGGTTCACGTACACGGTATTTGTAGTGTGTGTACATTTATAAAGAGTGCTCTATTCGTTTTTAACGACAAACCAATTGAATATTTTATCCTTCGTGCTATACTTCACGTGAAAATACAAAATTAATGTACACTCGTCCCGGGGAATTTTTATATATGCTGGGCAGTGATAGCGCCAGGATTTTTTGCTAGGTAGGGCCAACGGGAGGCCAACAATTATAAGGTAAGGCCACCAAAAATAAAATTTTAACAAAAAATAAATACTAATATTTAATATTTTCTGCTTCTGAAAAATTACTAAATTATTATGTCTAAGGTGAGATCAGTGGTAGGGCCACTGGTAGGACCAGTTATTTTCAAGTAGGGTCATGGCCCTACCTGGCCCGTCCTTAGCGCCGCCAATAATGCTGGGTGAGATTGTTGAAAAGTTTATAAAAAGTGTGGTCCATTCGCTTGTACGAATTTTCGTTTGGCGTTCGATTAGTTAGAAGTTGATATTTTATCGTTAAATTAGATGATATACGATCCTATAATGGTCGAAGGAAAATGTCCGATTAGTACAAGCGTCGTAGATTAATACACATGTTATTTTATAATGGTGTTGTTATAAAAATATACTGACACACGTACTCAAATCATGTCATGTATGTCATCGGTATAAGAGCCTCGGCGAACTCTGATGGACGCACGCTTATGAGTTTATAGACGTGTCTTTGTCGGCACGGTTGCACTTAGTTGTATTTGCATAATTTGTAAATTGTGATCACTCACTTTTGCGGCGTATGCTAATGGTTTAAAATCGATATTCATGTTGCTCGCGTGTACAGATGGCGTAGACCTTTCACTTGTTCTCAGACGTAACCGCAGTAAAACCGGATACCACGTATAACACATACTTTTATGCCCAGTGTGTGTGTGTATGTGTATGTGTATGTGAACGTGGGACCATGCATATTTTCGCCTATTCCATAATTCCCATTAATCTCTATACGTATTTATTTTTACGGCAAATTTACTCTGTGTCGTAAAAAAGAGCCTTAAATCATCCGTTGACTGCTAAGGTCTCTCTGTCCATCACGGTTTTTCTAAACTTATTTTCCAGCGTCCTATGCAGAGTTAATAGCACGCATCCTGTTCGATTATGTTCAATCGTGTACAAATACACACAAATATATATAAATAGGTGCACACTATTGTTTCCTGGGTTATCGGACTTAGTTAATGAAGCCGGTTTTTTATCATTTAAAAAATCGCAAATATAGGACGTGCACAGCAAATTGGAATTAATTAAAATGCTATTTTCCTTGGTGCATTGCAACGTATAATACGATAAATAACATGTTTTATAAAATCATAATCTTCGTACGTCGACTTTTATTGAATGGTTTTTTTATCTAATGATATTATAGTAATTATCTTACTAGTTTCATTAACGATTTATGTGTATACAGTGATAATCTGTACGTGATGGGTAAAATTTTTATTTATTTCTATTTTGCATAAAATGTAATCACATTATTGTAGTGTTGTAATTTGTGCACATCATAATAGTTTCCATTTGTATTATTATTTTACAATTTTTTTTTTTTTTTTGAATAATAACTTAACTAAAATATGTTTAGTCTTCTACTGATATGTTAAATTAAATATTTGAACAAATTTATTGTTTGTATCTGTAAAAAATGTTTAACTATTTGGTTATAAATAAAACCAAGATTTTTCTCAAAATATATAATTTATAAATTTTATTGTTTTAAAATAGTGAACGAACAGTTTTTTTTTATTAAACTCGATAACCATGATTTTCATATATACCTATAGGTTGTCGGTGGGTTCTTTCATTTTAGTTTTAAGTATTAGTGAGCTCATCTTAACAACAATTTTTTAATGTTAAATTATTATTCTTGTACATAACATGTATGTAAATTAATAAATATAAATTCAAGGCAAATTTTACGAATATAATGAGTCCGCCCTTGAATTTTTTTAATAGACCTAGTTAATTTACTAACGTTACTCAGAGTGTCTAGTTGACTATTCATTATGTGTAATATTTTTTATGTAACGCATGTGTGACAAAATTTACGCAGACATTTTAAAATAAATTTTCTTTTTAAAAATTTCATAAAATAATCATGCATATATAGGTTATGGTACTCAATTTACCTACTGTAGTGACTTCAATTGTTATTTGTTGGCGCTTCTTAAGCAAAAAGAAGTACATATATAATTACAAGTAACAATAATGTTATTGTTTTTCGTCGACCGAGTTTCCTACTGCTCATACCTATACTGAAATTGGCTTCCGGTTTCTCCCCTAACGAATTCAACGCACAGAAAAAACAAAAATCTACTTTCGTTAATTAAATCACGGAAACGAAAACAATTGTGCTTTCTTGCATTCGTAAAAGTTTAAACATGAGAATGTTATATTACACTAACTTATCCACATATTTTTCTTCATAGTTTGCTCCTGCATTATCATTATTATGGCTATAGTTAAGTACCTACATATGAAACGGAGAGACCACATTCCGTCAACGGTCAACTATGATAAGTACACGTACATGTTAAAAATATACCGCGTCCGTCGTATAAACAAGTGATTGATTACACAGTTCATTATTATCGCACTCCTTCTTTTCGATTAAGGAAATAACATTATTTTTAAGATTAATAAAAAACTAAATTTCATTAACAGAAATTCAAAGCGTGTATCTATAACGTAGATGCACCTATACGCATAATGTAACATGATTCTGACAGCCGACTTACAGATTAACAGTTTTTATAAAAGTGGCTTGTTCAGTAGGTATTCTTCATTAACTGGTCGTATGCACAAAACATAAATTAACTGATTCGATAATAAAAAATAATAATAGTAACCTACCTATATGTTTCCAAACACCACGATTGCGTAACAACTACCATTACTTTTGTTTTTTAAATTTATTTTCCTTTCAAAACTTATCCCCAACCCCAACAATAACGCAGTCGGTCGGACGTGTATACAATAACGATATTTCTATAGTACAATAATAATATATTACCAATGTCTGTGAATGTGTTGCAGTGTCCCGTGTAACTTCACACGAGAGAACTACGAGTGTATGTATGTTATAATTGAGTGTACGTGAGTATAAAATATATCTACTGCGTCTGTAATGAACTTATTGCTCTATTCCTTGATTGTTCTCGATTCCCGCCCCGTCTACGTAGTAAACGTTTTTATTCGTGAAATGGTTCGTTTATAATCCGACAGTTTTTTAACAGATGTATAATATACATTGCTTATAATATCGAATTATGCTTCTGGAATAAACAAGTTTTCACTGCGTATTAATTATTTTCCATCTCCACCTTAATTTCATATACCTGGTAACCTTGGTTTTAAAGGTTTGCTAAAATGGACGATTTAAATATCAATATTCACATAGTTTACAATTATCGTAATATAAAAAAAAAAAATAGATTACATTGCTCTTCGTCCTTTCTTTTAATAAATATATCCTCAGACTTTGAAATTTGAACTGCTGTAGGTACGAATTTTTGTTTTACTGATTTATTCAGTTGATGTCTTATAATCGCACAATACAGTATATTTATTCACAACATTAACATAAAAATAGAAAAAAGTAAACATAATAATAAAAATTAATAAGTTATACAATTAATCGAAGCGAAAGATTATTGTTTTGAAGTAGAACCTTGATATTTTGAAAATTATTTCTTATTGTATGTATATATTTCTGTAGTACATTGAGATTTTTATTTCATTTTTATTACATTTACTCGTGCATTCATATATACACTTGTCTGTCTAACAAAGTTTATTTTACGATGTATTTAAACTCTATATATTTAATTTGTATTTTTTGTTTCAGCAATCGTCACGCATTTTTTCTTTCTGGCGGCGTTTTTCTGGCTCAACACGATGTGTTTCAATATATGGTGGACGTTTAGGTGAGTCAAAATTAATATTATAAGAATATACAAAACATATTATTATTATTATTATTATTATACATTACACTCCGTGTTAAACGAGATAAAATGTCGTATCACGGTGTAATCACTTTAATAGTATTGTAAAAAAAAGTTAAAATCAAATAGGAAGTTGTTTTACCGTCAAGAATGAGTAGTAGGTACATCTAATTTCACCATCATTCCTGGGCGTGATAATTTATATCACACACACACACACACACACACACACACACACACACACACACATATATATATATATATATATATAATACACATACACATAGGAGTATCCCCAGGATATAATGTATATGTATATGAATGAACCTCATATTTTATATCACCCGTCTACCTGTATCGTAATAGAAAAAAAAAAAGGATAAATAAAACTCACCTCAATATATATATTTATGTATATATATATATATATATATTGTGCTGAATAGGCTTACGTATATCTCGAGACAATAAACAGTAATATCGAGTTACGAAAGTGTATTCCACTGTGTTATTCCCACGATCACGTTGCACCACCATTTCAATTTCCTCTTGTGTTCCAAGTAAAATGTACCCTAGAACCATCTAAATTATCATTTGTTTATTTTCCTTGATCGCCGGATAAAATTAATTATTACAAATAATTAATATGTATATATATATACATATATGTATAATATTGGTATAAATAAATATGTAGTTTTATAGTTAAATTATGGAAGTGTTAATGACAGTCCACGGTATAATATAGTTTCCCATCTCATGTTCATAAATTCGTCATGTGTAACCGTAAAGGTTAAATCTAAAATACAAAAAATAATACTATTTAAGGCCAAACCAGTGTGTAAATAGTGGTTCATTAACAACAATTATTTATTCATACATGAATATCACTTTGTATCGCGGATTTTTAACTGTACATTTATAATTATTCAGTATAATAATATAAATAATATTATAGAAATTCGTTTATTCTTTACTCTTTACCTCACTTGTATTTATAATGAAGTGTATCATTTAGGATTAATACTTGTTCTATATATTGGTATAAATTATTTAAAAAAAAAAGTTGTTCGATTATTACTTTTTATTAACAAATTTTATCAGATTTTACTTAGATAATATGATATGATTTGTTTTCAATTACATTTTAATTTGTGCAACGCCCAAATTAATTAAATCATTCGTTCATAAATTTATATTTTATTGATAAACGCGTATTACCAGTCTAAACAATTTAATATGTTTTCTACAGGTTATAAAAATTGTATTTTATATATTTATTATTATATATATTTTTAAAAACGAGCTTTCTCTTTACTTATCAAACATTTATGTCTTTCACATTAAATCTAATTGTTAAAATTCTGCATTTTTTTTTTTTTTTTTAATTATTATTTTCAACATTTAATTTATTCTTAAAAACATTTGGTAGCTCTAATAAATCAACAAATAGTAGTGAACATCTAATACAATATAATATATAATATTTGAATTTATATTTAGCATCTATTAAAAAATGTAAGAATGCCTAAGGCATTTAATTTCAAAACAACTATTCATGCTAGTAACAAAGAACTTTTTACTATGTTATGAACTCTTATATTCACTTTCCAATTTTGAATAGAGCGTAGGAGCTACTATTGTTTTTACCATGACGAGGATTTTTTCTTATGTAGGATTTTTTCGAACAACACTTTTTAGAACATTAAAAGCTTATGAATTCCTACAAACATCCTTGTTAAGATTTGATACAAAATATAGATTGTTGCTTATGGTACGCATTATTTTTTAAATTTTTTTCAAAATAAATAGAAGAAGAAAAAAATGTGATGATACACGAGCCAATTTCGAGTGTTTTCAATCAAATCTATTTATCACTGAAAGAACTGTTTAGAACTATATTTTGAATGGTTGTTTTCAAGTATCGAATAATCGTACCCCACTGTTATGTATACTTTGTTCGTTGATCTGAGAAAACTGCAGTGGAATATAAAATCATTATTTTGTTTCTATTAGATGTTGACATTATTTCGGGTATCCACAGAGAATTTGTTATGCTATTATTCATTACAAAAACTGTACTAATAAATTTGTATTTTTAATATTTCTATTTTTTAGAAATAAACAATTTAAATTTCGTTTAAAAAAACACGTACCTACTTGTTTTCTATTCGTGTTATTTAAAAATTAAGTAATACACATGTGTTATGTATTCATGTTAGTTATATTGAAATTATTCAATCGAATATATTTAAACGAGTAAATGTTATCTTGAGTTTTAACGAAGATACATTTCAATTATCTAATAATTATTAAACTATAAGAAACATGACTGTTTAACCAGTTGTTTTCATTAACGAAGCATAAGACAAACTATAGGTCTTTGACGTTTTCCTTGTAGTGATAGGTTTAATGAATGCTAATGGTGTTTTCCAGGGACTTGAGGCCCGCCAACTTGGATAAAGGCCAAGAAGCATGTAGACTCAGGCTGTACCAGTTATACGCGTGGGGTGTGCCTTTGATGATCGCTACACTAGCCGCTGTTTTAGATCGTATTCCGACGGATCAATATGTTTCACTCATCAGACCTAAATTTGGGGAACACCGATGCTGGTTTTACGGTAAGTAACTTTTCAAATTTCGGATATATTACAGTTAAATAATACTTAATGATAATTAGATTATTTTATCCTTTGTTTTTTTTTTAAATACATTCAGATATGTACTCGAATATATGTATACTTACATTTAATTTAACAACATTTCTTATATCATTGCTTTTTAATACCATATATTATAAGAAATTAATAATAATAAACTGGTTCATCATTTAACTAGATTAATGACTTCGATTATTGAAGCCTTTTAAAGACTTAAATACTTAAAGTGCAATTAGATAATCAATAGTTTTCAAAATTTGTACGTTGTAATATAATGAAATGTCTGTATTTAATGTCTGACTAATTTATAATAATGCACAAGTTTCATCATTATTAGTTTTTTCGAGATCGTTTAATTTTTAGGTTTACAAGTACCTTATATGGAATCATTAATTATACCTCCGTAATAATTGTATAGTAAAAAAAAAAACCAAACTCCTATACCCATTTTAGGAAGAAAAAAAATGCAATTGTTCATTCGTTATTTGCAGGTGACGCAGAAATTCTGTCATATTTCTTTGGACCTATTGGTATTTTGTTATTGTTGAATCTAACATTGTTTGCGGCCACGGCTAGGGAGCTGACGTGTGGATTATGGAGAACCGAAGTAGTGAAATCTACAAGCGAAAGGTAAGAATATATAATTATAATAAACAAATTATAAAATAATGAAAAAATCGTGTCTGATTATACTACATTTTCGATTCCATATATATTTCCAATTATCTTGGCTGATAACGAGCAAAGCGTAATAGGAGTTATGCTAATTATTAAGACATAAAGACATTTTATTAAAATAAACTCGTAAAACGGAACTTGCATACTATACATAGTACGAGTACAAACTAAGAAGTGCCGCAAGTAATAATTATTATTATTGTCATAAACATTACATTTGTCGAACGGAAACGTAAAATAAACCGTAATTCTCATAGACCGTAAACACTACTAAAACTATATATTTTTATCTGATAAAAAGTAGAGGTCAAATGAATAAGAAGGCATGAAATTGTTTTGAGTGTTTTTTCGAGGTCATCTATTTAACTGTCAAATTTTGATTGAAGCAGTATAATTGGTGTGTATTAATTTTAGGTAAAAAAAAAAAAAATAGTTTAACTTATCGTACTCAAACACATTTAAATTTGTCGACCATATTTTGTTTTTAATTAATGATTAAAATCGTATACGTTGAGTGTGTACCAAACTATATAATGTACCATTGTAGATGTTTGTCAAGAAGACGAAGAATTTGTTTCATACGATATACAGGGATCGTCAATGCGGTACGCTTTGCAGGACCATATTTGTGATTATTGTGGATAGATAGTTAATGTGAAAATTCATTAAAAGCCCCCCGTAGTGTCTGATGTTTACCGATGATGACGTTTACTTTGATTGATGGAAATCCTATGTGCGCGCGCATTATATAAATTATTTACTTTGGAATTCGATATAACTGTAAAAGGAAAAAATACGTGTATAGCAGTTAAATTGTTTTAGGTTCTGTTGTATAAAATAATAGAGAAATCGATGATATTTGCTCACGATAAAAATATATCGGATGACGAGATCAATTTGACATGATTAAGTGACCCATTATTACTGATTGCGTTGATTGCAGGGAAAATAAAAATAAAAAAATGTTTTAAGAATATTAGGTATAAGAGGAAAATACCTAACTCGAATGTCGCTTACAAAATATTTGTAGGTTTTAGATCATAGAAATAATAGAATTAAATTGATTTTTCTCGTAATATTATATAATATGTATAGAGTTTAGGTACAGTAAATCAAATAAAGAACGACTGCCATCGTATATAGCGTATTAAATTAATAAACTCTGACTTTGGCTGGAGACGGGAAAGATGGGATTGGTTTTCCGTGTCGAAATCGTGAGTCGTGAGTTACTGTTCAGTTTAAAGGGTAATTTAAATAATAATAATAATATTACGAGCGTGTGAACGAATTAAGTGTCATATATGCGGCTGCACGGATGAGGTCAAGCATTCAAAGCTATCAGTGAAATTAAATCGGAGAAAAACGTTTGATGAACATTTCATTTGACGAATTCATAGTTCAACCGGTGGATCCAAAAAAGTATTGACGCTCAACGATGTATTTATAATTATAACTGACGATGTGTAAATGTGTGTGTTGATGTCGCGGATAAATCGACACGGATAAAAGTATACGGTGCGATGATAATAAAAGTATCTAGTCGGGTGGAATAAAATTATTTCCCAACATAATGTTTTATATTATTATTACTGTGACACTTTCTTTTGTGCGTACAATAATAAAAAACGTTCGATTGCTAGGTATGTCGCCCGTTGAGATTTAATAATGAAATGCATTCTACACTGTATAACGGTTCATCTCGCTTGTACACGTTATTATTATGTGTACGGCTGGTATGACGACGACGTCTGCGTCTTTGCGTGCCCTCAACGTTCCTCGTCGTCGTCGTCGTCGTCGTCCGGAGAGCAGCTCAATTATTTGACATTTCGTGCGCGCACAACTCGACGTGAGATGCCTCGCCACAACCGCTGAGGAATTAATCATTAGTGTATAATTATTATTATTTTCATTATTATTGTGCTCGTCTCATAGTAACTATCGCGACCTGTTCTACTGAGCTTCCTCCCGCAAGTCCGATGAACTCCCGTCTACCATGTATTACACGCATTAGACTGCGTACGTACAAAGATGTATTGTACGATTTCATCGACTCGTGCAACAGATTTCCACGCATCGCGTTTAACCAACACGATAATCAACACGGTAAACATTCGCGAAAACGTATAAATGTGCACATAATATTATGTACTTGTAAAATAACGAGCGTATAAAATCACTGCTGTATCGAATATATAATATTATAATAGATATCCAGTAATCGGATTTTTTTTCCGTTCTTCCTCCCCCCCCCCCCCCTCGTTTCAAATCATCCGCGCATGACGTTTACAAAATAGGTGTGTTTATTTATAAGGAGTGAAAAAAATTCCGGATTCGCGTTTACGCCCCGGCTCAACCCGCCGTAAATTATGTAAATTAACATATTGAAGGTTTAAACGTTTAATTGATACGCTCCGCCGTCGTTCGGGTGTCGTAGACATATCAAATAGTAATTATAACGAGCGCGGATCGTAATTTATCGTATTATACGCAAACGTGTGATACGCGTGGAAACGATGAACGGCGTGTGTGTTCATAATCGTCAATACATACTTAGCTGTATGTACACGCGCGCGTTCGCACGTATAACGTACACATATTAACGAAGCATTACCTAATGTAACCGGTAACTTGTTATGTGCATACAACACGCGCGGGTATGTTTTGGGTACGCGTCCGGACGTTTGCAATTATTTCATCTGAAAAGTCGAATGGCGATTCGCACGTGCAGCTAAGAGAAAACTACATGAGAAATAGTCGTCGTCGCGACGACGTCCGTGCGCGTATTGGATTACGTTTCGGACCGAGGTCGTGTGCTTGCCGCGGAGTCCGGATACGGGTATCCGTATCCGTATGTAAGACGTATGTCTTCGATGAATAAATCGTTCTACGTCGTGTTTCTCGAATACTAGTTTTTATAGTTCGCACAACGCGCGTATCGAATCCGCCGTACGGAAGTCGTCCGTTAAAAACGAAATTTTGGCACGAAATTGAACATGGATACGCGTGAATACATTGAAAAAATACCGCACCACGGTAGACGAACGAAAAGATTGTTTAAAAATATACAGTCCAAGCGTCCAACTGTATGCTTTCGTTCGGTCGCGTATAATACGTTTGAGCCGAATCGAAAATGTCCTTAGCCGGATGGATTATGGCATCTGGGGAAATGTAACCGGGGGAGGGAAGCTTATCCGAAATTTCAGGAAATGTTCAATTATACATCTTAATATAAAATAAAATATAAATACCATTCATGCATGTTTTACTCGTAGTTACCGTTTGTTTTTAGTTTTCTTATACTTATTTCGCAGTTAGTATGTTTTTTTTTTTTGTTGTGTAATTCATAACTGATCAGCTTCCTCCGCCTCTCTTCCAGGAAAAAATTCCAGTATACGCCACTGAAATAGTCGCGGATTGTTCGCTGAATCGCAGTTGGACGGCGGACGGGGTGGGAATTAGTTCGAGTAAAAACAATGCCCATGTAATCGCTCGTGGTTTGCAGTATCAAGTGAAGATTAGACCCTTATACCGAACATTTCCACCCTAATTGTCCGTTCGTTTATAACCATGTTACCTATTTAATATATATGCATAGTTGTGAACAGAGCTAAGATAATCTCAGATCGATAGAAATTCAAACATACCTTCTCAAGTAGCCCGTGATCCATGAACTATTTATTCATCGTTCTTCATATACATTAATTTACATGAATATGTATTATGTATGTACATTTTATAAAAGTATTAAAAAAAAAACTTGATAGGATGATTTAATGGTAGCGTGATTTCGTATTGTTGTACACAACGCCCAAATAAAATTCAAGATACGCGCCTGTCAGGTCTTTAAGAATAGGATTTAGACATTTTTAAAACTGAAAAAGCCTTCCCCGGGCACGGTGTTCAATTTGACACAGACAACATTTTCCGACCCAAATATTATCACCCGAAACCCGCAACGTCACTCCTCTTTGGCCCGTTTAAACGTGATTCTGTCTGGTTGTGGAAGGTGCGTAAGAATGCTACAGCAAATCGTTATATTAATAGTACACAATTAAAGGTGCATAAATAATTTTTGTACGTTTTATTTGTTCTTCACTCCGCTTAGCTCTTGCTCTGAAAATTAATCCCGAACACTAAACAGCAGCCAGTTTATGGTGGATTATATTCTATTTTACCGGAATGTATTTATATTATGTCCCCCGGCTCTTGGCATAAATCCGAAACGCATGAACGATCGATTATTCACTGCATTCAAAACAAGCAACAGGTATTTACCGAAGCTGATGGTGATACCAGTTATAAAGTACAATGATTTCACTTAAGTAAATCTAATAACTAGGATGTACATTTTACGCAATCGATTTAAATTTACTACGGTCTGAGTATGGCAGTGGACGATAATAATGTATACGGAATTGTATGATGGCTTACTCGATGTTTGGCTCTTATGCTTGGAGACCGGTCCCCGTACCATCGAATGGTACAATTATACTTGTATTATACGAGTATATAATAACCATACGACTTCACGAGTGCTGGGGAATTATAGCATCGCATGCCACAATCTTAACATTTTCACCGTGTACTACTGTAAATTATCATTAACAAAATTTAAATTAATTTAAACCCGAAAGTGAAGCTTTTTTCCTTGAAAAAATTTAAATAATTGAATTACTTTTTGTATAAAGAACAACCGAAATTAAAACATAAATTTAGTGAATTTTTCACATACAAATTTCAATATCACTTATTATACAATTTACTTTTAATTAAATTACTGTTATTTACTTGTATATTGTCATTTTGACGTTTAATTAAAAATAATAAAAAATATATTAATATAACGCACAACTCTCAGGAACTAAACCTGTCCTTACAAAACTTAGAACGTGCCCTTCACGGGCATACCTGTGTCGTGGCGTGTACCTTTTTACTTCAGTGCCTGTCTGCGAGCAGCAGACAAAACCGTTTCGAAACCCTTCATAATTTATATACTGAATGCCATAATTTCATCAATTTCACGGTTTTTTACTTGCAACAATAATCCATGTCATAACGTCTGAATTGTTAATATAATATTATCATTTCCGTGTTGTTGCAGGGCCACGTTGGGCCGCGTCTGCCTGAAACTGGTGATCGTCATGGGCATCACGTGGGTAGTGGACGTGCTGTCGTGGATGATCGGCGGGCCGGACTACATGTGGTACATGACGGACCTGATAAACACGCTGCAAGGGGTGCTGATATTCATCGTGGTCGGGTGCCAGCCACAGGTGTGGATGGCCGTGAAGCGCATGTGCCGGTGCCTGCGTTCGGACAACCCGTCGGACGGCGGTAACGCCAGGTCGTCAACGTCAAACGCGATGCCGTCCACCGTCAACGAGTCGACGCTGACCAAACCGGTGGAAACGCTGTGCTGATGAGACCCGGTCGAATGATATCCGACGACCGCTCGCCCGCCACGTGGTTGCACCCATCGCGCGCGTACATGACGGGAGAACACGGTCACGTACACGGAGAGGCGCACCGTCGCGGACGATCCGACACACGCGAACATGACACAAACTAGACGAAATCGTTGCCGTCGACCTTACGCGTCAAGCGCGCGCGTGAGCGTTCGATATCTTGCCCGGCGAACGGAAAGTTATTTAGACTGACAAATATTTTGTTTTATTATTATTATTTTTCCACGCCACCCCTCCCCCACTGTATATCACCCCTTTTTAACCAGTATTAATATTACTATATCACTATTATATGATCCACGCGCGCACGTACAACACATAATTATAATTACATTTCACGTACACGTGGCTTAACCCTCGTCAAACAATCGTATCGCGGACACGACGATCTTGTTGGAAACGCGTTCCTTCTTCATCGCCATTGACTTTTATAACACGATAATATTGACAAATCGCGTTCTCGGTCATGAGGGCCGAAGATCCCAAAACGTCTTATCTGTGACCGCCACCTCATTTTGGACCAATCACAATTATTATTAAGTATTTTACATGAACAACATGTACCTGCGTCACTTACGTTACCCGTACGCGTTTGAAACGTTCATGAGCAGTGTACGTGATTAAGATTTCACGTGTTCTCGTAACAGCCCAAAAAACAATTTCTGGTTTTTAATATTTACCCCTAAAAAAAAATGAATATAAACTCGATTACAAACCATGTATATGTTCATGCGTGAAAAGTACCTACTTGCATTCAAAAATGTTATTTTTCTTTTTTCTATCCCTATAATATATATATTTATATTTATATATTTGTATATATTTATATTCCTATAGTGTTGATTTTATTACGTTACTCACGACGCATTAATGTATAATAATTATACGACTGTTGTACTATTAGAATTTCAGCTATTTTATTTTATTTTTTTTTTTTAATTACACTAACAGTTATTCCTACGAAACATTTAACGTCTTCGAAAAAAATAAAAGCAACGCCTAATGCTTTCGATAATAAGTCTTCGCGAAAATACGTGGTTCAAACCACGGATGCCAATTTTATTGTGAAAATTGTATTTTATATGTGTTCGTATTATTATTATAATTATTATTTTTTTTTATTTTTTCTTTTTTTGTTTAACATATTTTTATATTAAGTTCCTGTAAGCCAATGTAATTTATTTTTTTTTCCCCCGAACAATGATCTACTGAATAGATTTTGATTGTTGACTATGAAATTCGATTGTATTTTTTTAAATATTATTACTTAATAAGCCTGATATCACGTTGTTTATACATGAAGATCTTTATAGAGCTATGCATCCAGTTGTAAGTTTGTTTTTAAAATTAGTCGATAGCTTTTTTTTTGTAATTTATAAGACATTATGTGTACTTCTTCGGATTCAGACTGTGTAGATATAGTAGAGTTTCATAATTCTAAATAATATTATGTCTGTAGTAATATATATATATATATGTATATATAATACACTTGCTTTGTTTAAAATTAAATACAAACTGGCGGAGTTGTTAAATATTAATAACACATGCGTTGTTGCGTTCTGCAGTGTGCAATCGTCAGGTTATAAATGTTTGTATGACAACGATGCACCTGTTGTAGGTCGCTACGGCAATTATATTGGAATTCGGATATTTACCTCGAGATGGCTATTCATTTCGGTCGACGAGACCAGGCTATTGTATCGATTATTATGATACGCGGCAACCGCGGTTTCTGATCGTGTTCGATACGTAAATACATTTATAGAAACGTGAGTCGGAGTTTAAGGATGTCTCGGCGGAGACCGCCAAAATATACGGACCGTTAAAAAAAAAGAGTAAAAAAGCATTTTCCTTTTCGGTTACGGCCACAGATCGAAACGAGGAACCTTTTTTTTATCCATGTGTAATTATCTACTTGCGGTACAACTTTAAATGTCCTTCGATCGCATCACCCATTATTCATTGTTGCAGTGTCCTGAACAAGTACAGTGTGATGAGCTGGTAACACTTAACATAAACACTCTGCTGCGCCCTGCTACGGTATCCTCCAGTGCGATGCGATAGGTGTAGCGACATGAATCCCCCGGTAGGTACGACCTTCATCAACGCAACACTTATGTGCCCACCAGGGCAAATCGACAAGCGATACGGTACGCAGTTGTAATCGTGTGAGCATCGCGATAAGTCGCGCGATACCATCGTCGAGCGATTGACAAGCCTCGTCTATACGGTACCAATAAATACCGGTTTTGATATGTAATCGTGCCACTGTTTTAGTTGTTCGCACGTGGATAGTACTTGGTAGGCGATACGGTGTCGAACTGCTTATCGCACCAATGCACTTATTGGTCGGTGCGTTAAATTTACATGGTTTTTTTAATATTTCAAATTAACATAATTTTTTTTACAATAGTAAACAATTATGATCGGTAGGGTTAGCTTTTAAAACACAAAACACTGTGTACACCGAGGTGACAACTAACTACAGCAATCATAATTCATCCCACAAATGCAATATTATTTGCTATAAATTATAATACTCGAAATATAACAATTAATAAAATACCATGTATACGTTGTAAACGTTTCTTTGGAAATCTGTATAAATTAAAAGCATAGTTCCAATGTAATTATATAAAGTACAGGTTTGATGAAGTATATTGGTATGCCATCGAAAGAAACACAATACGTAGAACATTCTACTAGCCAAGTCTCAAAATGTGGTCAGTATTCAGTAATGAAAAATTCGAAAGTAGAATAAAATACTCATAGATAACATTTTTATAAATTTAGAATTAATTTTTAATGCCAACATAGTGTATCTGGGTATCGGATGGCCGGATCGCATACTTGCGTCATTCTATTTAGACTAAATACAAGTATCTGGTTTCGAAATTGTATTCATATAGAACGTATTATAAAAAATTAATTTTTATATTTTTTTATTCAGTTTTATTAATTCATACCTATAAAAATGAATGTTGGTAAATCTGAGATTAAGAAGGTTTTACGTGATTAGATTTTTACGTATAATAGACTTATGACCGAATAAAGAATAATCATATTTTGTAATTCAATTTTAATTTTGAAATATAATTTGATTTCAGCAGCCTCCTTTTTACGTTTTGTATTAATTACTATTTTATTTTATTTAATTAATCATAAATCCTTCAAAATAAAAATTAATTTTAAGAAATAAAGTATGTTTATGTGATTTATAAAATACTGCAAAAGTTAAATTCAAATTAATTTTTGAATTCTGTGTAAAGCAACGATTTCCAAACTGTTTTGGCTCGCGAAGTCGTTTTAAACTAACTGCTTTTAAATCACAACGACCGACAAAAACCCAGCTTCGCACAAATAAGCAGTCGAAAATGGGATTAAAATTCGTTGAGCAATATCACTTGGAAGGGGATATTCGTCTCTTATTAAGATCAAAAATTTAGTCCTATTACCAAATTTCATTTTCTAATCCTGCGGATTAAAACAATTTAATAACTTGTTTTGGTAACTAATAATAAATTACAAAAACTGTTGAAATCATGATAATTATACTGTAATTCATAAAACAAAATATTAATTTGTTCAATTTCAATTACAATGAAATAAAATAATTTATTTTGCTAGAAATTAAAAATAATTAAAATTCACATAAAAATTAAATTCATAAATCCGGCATAAATTGTCCCATACGTATTTTATTTCGTTTTGTTTACGATAACACGTATGTTTGCATTCACGTAAAAAGATCCCTCACAGTAGATGTATGTAATGTTATAAAAAAATAATATTGTATTGGTGTGCTTTTACAACGATGAGATGTGTTGAACGAAGCCTTATGTCACTTAATATTTGATAGCGACCTGATCGCAACGCCAGAATCCCTCCAGCACCGTGCCCGCGCGGAGAAATGAGATCTCCGACAACAATATGCACCGATGCGTATCCTATGTCACTATCCGGCCACGTGTCGTGTACTATAATATTATGATCTACAGCGTGGAGAATAAATCGTCACCGATTAAGAAAAAAAATCAATCGACGCGTGTGAACCGTGACAATTCGCTACTCGTAAAATGGAGTAGCGAACATCCACCAATATAATTATCCGGGTAGACGTGTCCCTAGGATAAACAGCTGACTAGACTATCTCCGCACTAGATACTATATAAACTTCTCCGATTAATATGTCAATATCTAAAAGTCTTTTATGTTTTTTTATACGTACATTATATATTGTGATCAACACAATAATGTTTATCACATCTCTGAACATTGATGGTTCGAATTAACGGTGATGACACATACAAAAACGTACCCAATTTTGTTGACGTATTAAGGCAGAGGTGGATAGGTAGTTTTTTTGTTACAGAGAAATATTTTAATGGGCCACCAAAATGAAAAAAAAAATTGCATTTAAAAATGTATTATATTTAATTATCCCAATTTAATTTAAATAATTTAACTATAAAAAAAAAAAAAAATAATTTTCCATGAAAAAATGAAAGGTATCGAGAGGGCCGGTGCACAAGAATTGCCTCCCAAAACTGGTTAGGTTACATGTTGTCACTCAAATTGGCTCCGGATATTTCGGAGGCAATTCAAGTGCCCCTATTTTACCATACTCGAATTGCCTCCCTTAACAATCTATATCGATTGACATCGATTTTGATATTTTGATATTAGAAATTGAGTGATAGTGAATATACTGCGACAAAACTTATTCTAAATTCTAAACTTATGATCGAAGACAAGTAAATTGTATGGTTATATGTGGTTGTAATAATATTTTAGTAGCCTATACGAATACGATAATACGTATATAAACTTGAGTATAATAGAGATAAAAGTGCCACATTTTCGTACTTACTGCTCGCTAACATTGGTTTTACCAATTGCCATTAGACAATATCGGAGTATGATATAGCAATATAATGTTGCTATTACTGGTTTTTAATTTAAAACTATAGATTGACTCCAGGTACTTACTATATCTGCATAATCGCGTCAGTATAATTTTGTGAACTTATGTGTATATATTTTTTGTTATAATTTAATAATTTAAAATAATAATATAATTTAAAAAATGTCTATAATTTTAAGTGAGAAGGGAAAAACTGTTTTAATGGTCAATGGTTACAAATATGGATTCCAAAAATACCTTGCTAATGAAATTAAGAGATGGACGTGCAACGTATATATATATATATATATATATATATATGTTCGATGTTTCAAACATAATTCATACATGTACGAAGGACTCAGAAAAAAAAATTAATAGACAAGTACTAAACAACCATCTGAAACGACTTTACCTATTTATATTATAATCAACTTATAAATGTATTATTATAAGTGTATTATTGTATAAATCGATAGTTTATATCGATTGTATTGATTCGATTTATGGAAAATTTTCAAATGGGAGGCAATTCGAGTAACCTTTTTTTAAATTATTTACGGAAGGCAATTCGAGTGTCTCCGAGGGGGCCACCAACATAATATAAGGCGAATGCCCACAGGGAAAATCCTTTTTTCCCTATGGGCCTATCCACCCCTGTATTGAGGTACCTTTTTTTTTTCGTTTAATTACGACCTGTTGTATATCCAACCTGTAGGCGGTACCTGTTTTCGCAATGTTTCCGCCTGGCCGCCATCGTTTATTGTTTTACTTTATATATTAACAAATAAACTAACAATAATCGAGCCAATAACCGACATGTAATAACAAGATCAGTAATTTAATGCGGGTTTAAGTTTCGAGCCATATGGGTTCGCAGCACCAGAAGGCCTGGTATCTCATCCTGTTCATTCTCCCCTCTACCTACCGTCCTAAGTACGTTGGCCTCTCGTGGTTGTTATCCATGGATTTGAACTCTCTCAAGGAACATTTCGTCCTCCACCATCTTGGTCATGATGTTGGTCATTATTTTTATCAAGCATATTGAGGTACCACCTACTCGTGCTAAAATGGTAATATGTCAACTGATGTCGTTCCCCTCCCCTGTCCTACGATACAACATTGAACTCGATGTCTATGCTGAATCGACTAAAATCGAATAAGTGCTAAGCTTGCGTATAATACAGCACCAGCATAGGCACAACTAGGGGAATGAAAGATGGTGTTTAACACCCCTGAGTTCAAATTTTTTGTTTTTTTTTTTAGTTTAATCTCTAATAATTACAATGAAATACCATAAATTTCAGCACCCCCAGTATTTGGGTTCAAGTTGCGCCTATGAGAACCAGCGGCCCACCAATAGCCGGCCAGGGAAGCCAAAATAGTGCTAGGGGCCAAAAACCCCGGGTTGATCAACCGACGTCAACTAAAAACCTAGTTAGTACCACGGGAGGGGGAGCCCCACCGTGCTCCGGATCCGGTGCTCCCGAGGTTGAGGTGCTTACTTCGGTTGAAACGTGGTGGCTGTGGCACGGCGCGATATAGTAACAAAACTACAATACCCAGTGGAGACTGCGGATCCCAATACGGTTCTCGTGTCCACGGAATGAAAGGGTACGGGCCTCAGCCGGTGCTAATGGTCCATGCGACGACCCGGGCCCTTCGGTCATACCTTAGGGTCCATTTCGACCGCGTCTCTAGAGTAACGCCTCGCAGACGATAAGACATTGGCCACAAATCCGGATCTCGTGCGCCTACGAGCACCAGTAACGGTTAACCGTGTGCACCAGCACCATCATCAATTCGCGTTTTCCGTCTGCGTACAGGACATCTCGAACGTAACGTATCGCAAGCGCCATCTCGTAAGGGTGCAGAGGAAGACCCTCGTAAATACATCGTCTGACGTCTTACCACAACCATCAATTACTGCGAGTGCTCATTTCGTGAACATCCCATCGGCGTAATTTATACCGTAGCCCGTGATGTTTATTCACATCGCGTCCCTGTGCACGAGTTATAATACACATAATAGACGGTCGGAACACGAGACTGCATAATTACACATTTATCTGGTCCGCGCTGCAAAGAAAAGGTTGACTGATACTAATCATAATCATAGGATTGCCGTATGCCTACGCTTGCAGGCACAACGTGACACGTAGCCTCGATGTGCGCGCACGGTAAGCTTGCCGGTTTTTTACAAAACGTGTCTTGGACAACCCCATGTGCACCTTTAATTGATGGGTACACGAGTCAATAAACATTAAATTGTAATTTCTAATTATATATGCGCGGTCATCGTCGAAAAGGAACATCGATTAACGCACCCGCATTTCTCCAACGGCCAGACCGTGTAATTCGAAGCAGAGCGGTATTATAATATACCGGACGACATAAACGTTGCCTAGTAAATCATTTTTTTCGCTTAAAAGATGGCATGTTTAATTATTAGGCGACAAGGATGAAAACATCCAAACATTTAAAATAAAAAAATATAATATAAAAAATTAAGTCTGAAAATTAAGATATTTTTTGTAATTATTTTATAATTTTATTTATCAGTAATTTAATATGCTTGTTTTTCGTTTATCACTTCGTTTGATGATTTGATGTTGAATCATAATTTTCATTAATTATCAGAATACCTACAATGGAAAACCCATGCGTTATGAGGATGTTTGCTGAACACACATTCACGTTACTCACTTTTTCAAATTGAACGTTAACATTTACATGTATTTTTAATGAATTTGAACGATTTCTGGGGCGTTAAAATTTATTTATCATTTTAAAAATACATGAATAAATAATAAATATTGATTATATGTTTAAGTATAGATTTTAAACATAAATTTAAGTATACCTAATACATCTTATAAAGGTCCCATATATAAGGGCGATGCCCGTTTCCAATTAACATGAACGTAAGCTACTTCAATTTTTAAGTGAACGTTTTCAAACACCGATTATAAATACTCTTACGAAATTGGATGGTGTTATAGTTTCTAAGGTTTGAATATTAAACACTGAAAATATTTTTTTATACGTTCATAATATAATTTATTGTTGGTTTTATCAATTTTGATTAGATGCGTAAAAAAAATTTTTTGTTCCTGGTTTAACTAACCTGGTTTACAGGAACAGCTTGAATTTTACTTCTTAAGTATTCAGTAGGTATTTTTTTTCTCACTTACGGCTTGCTTTAAAGCCAGGTTTACACATTGATAATAAAGTTATTCAAAAATAAACTAAATACCGTTTTGTTGACACTCAGATATTATTTTATACTTTTTGCAGTACCTATTATTGGGTAATACAAGTTGGGTAAGACTCAAATCCTATTAATTAATAATAATTCATGGGTTATTTTAGAAATAATTTAAATTCAAAAAAAAGTATTTATTAATTTAATAATGAATATTATAAAAAGAAAAAAGTTTATGTCAAATTGAGTACAAGGTAAGGTAATCTTTTAATATAAATTATTAATTATACAATAATATAATTAACAGATAATTATAAAGCTTCAGACACTTCAGTATTTTCAGTATATTATATTATATTTCATTTTAATGTACATAAGTACATAAGTATATTTATAATCAATGATTAAAATAATATCATTTATTTATCTCTATTCATAATACATACTTACTGTCAATGTCCGTAAATAAAATTATTATTATTATATACAATTATTATAGTATTAATTACATAACTTAAACAGTAGTTTCATTATAATATTGAAATAGCCAGTAAGTATTAGCGCAAAGTAATTATGATATGAACAATTCACAAAATAATACCTAATATTTTTTATTTGAGATATCTTTTGAATGTGCAAATAAGTGTTATTTTTTATGCAAATATTATGAAATATGCATGTAGCTACAACAAATATAATTTAGTTTTAAATATTTACAATTTTATATATTTAAGATTGTTCACTTTTAAATTTTAATGTTTATTGAGGAACTTAATATTTTTAATTTGGCTACAGTTAAAACTTTAAATTAAATTATTATAGGAAAAAATATATGTTGGAAGTAGACTAAATACAACTTGTTATTCAACACTACGCAATAATATATTATAGTATATATCAAGTCTAGGAAAAACTTTAAATTTATTTATTTACAATATTAAAAATGTTTAAGTATAGTATACTTTAAGACATTACTAAAACAAGAATTTTTTGGAACAAAATCTAAAAACCAATTATAACTGGTGTTACTATAATATTAATATTGATTTATATTACCTAGTACATTTTACTGATACATCTGATTTCTTTACAGCCAATCAGATTGTAACATTTATTTTAAATACATTCATATGTCCACAAGCTAAATTAAATCAAAAATTATAACATAGTGGTTATGAATAAAATTTTATTTATTTAATGACTCAAACAATAATACTAGAAATAACTTTTAGTTAGGATACTGGGAAAACATTTGTAACAAATTAATTTTCTTTTCAAAATAATAATTTAAAGGTCTCTCTGAACAATTAATATAAAATTAAGGTAGTCTGCCAGCCATATTTTTTACATGTTTAATAACATTATGTACAATATCAGTACTTGAAGCTGTACCATTCAAATCAACTGTGTGCACCATGTCTTCTTCGAGAGTTTTGGCTATAGCTGTTCTAATAATTTGGCAATGTATTTTGTGACCCAGATGTTCCAACATATCAGCAGATGCACTTAACATGGCTACTGGATTAGCAGTGTTCGTACCCGCAATAGACGAACCCGTGTTCCTGGTACCTGGCTCAAAAACTGCATAATGATCACCATAATTTCTTCCAGATATAAGGCCAGCACCACCCACAAGACCACATATTACATTAGACACAATTGATCCATACAGATTTGGCATAAGCATCACATCAAACTGGTGAGGATTAGACACCAGTTGCATACAACAATTATCAATAATCATGTGTTCAAACTTGATGTCAGGATATTCAGTAGACATTTTTTTGCAAGTTTCTAAAAATAATCCATCAGACAATTTCATAATATTTGCTTTGTGAACTGCAGTAACTTTTTTGCGACCGTTGTTCTTGGCTAATTCGAATGCATACCGAGCCAACCGTTGGGAATTTTCTTTTGTAATAATTTTCATAGATTCGACAACTCCATCAACGCTCTCGTGTTCTAACATTGCATATTCACCTTCGGTATTTTGACGTATAACAATGACATTAAGATTTTTGTGACGACTTGGCAAATTGTTGTATGATTGAACGTTAATGACATTCACAAATAAATCAAGTTCATTACGTATGGCTACATTACGTGAAATGATACCCGTATCGAGACTTCGCGTTTCAATATTACCTTTGATAGCTACACCATTTCTACGTATAGACATAATGGCATATTGCAGGTCATCATTGTTATCACTTTGTGGATCAATCTGAATAGTCTCGAAGTCAACTGGTACACCTCCATGCTTGAAAACTTCTTTGACATAGCTCATCAATTCGGGTCCAATGCCTCCACCGGGTAACATAGTAACGGCATTCCTGCCGCCATACCTATTGTCAAAAAAAAAAAATAATATAAAGATAAAACGAAATCGGATTAAATTTCACACAGCAAAATAAACCCAATTGTAAACAGAAACAAATCGCATGGTACTTAAGAGAGGGGTTGCGAAAGTGTATGCTATGTGATACAATACTACGATTTTACCTGGCTCTTGGCAATCCAACTTGTCTTCTGCTTTGTGGATGCTTGTGTTGGATATCGAAATTGACGGTGGACAACGGGCGGATGGTGTGCGAGCCCGCTTTTTGTAGAGTACATTTCGTAAAAACGGCTAACATGTTTAACGACCGACCTTATGTTAACAGAATAAAAAAAAAAAAACAGAAAGAAATAAAAATAATGGGTGATAATCCAATATCGTCGGTGTACTCGAATATAAAGTAAAAATAAAAAAATAAGAGGTACTGAGCCACAGAGGAGGTTTTAAAAAACATTCGTACAGCATCCAGCTGTTTTACATTTCCGTCGCTGATAAAAACCAACTGATAACGACGACGCAATGGCGATCGATTTTTTATCTGGTGATATCACAACTCGCTGAGCGATAAGCAGCTAAAATGTTATGCGGTGGTCGGATTACGCGGGAAATAGATCGACGTCGACACGCATGAACTATGACCCTCTGTAAAATAGAATAATAATAACGATTTCATACCGGAAACCTTGCGATATGTTGAACTGTCAATAAATCGTAAGTAACGATCACGATCTACATTGTAACCATGCATGTAGTGGTTACCAGCTGAGTTGTTCGGGAGATGTTTAAAAAGGATTTAAAAATTAGTTTTACCTCAATATTATTTTCTCATTGTATTCGAAAGCCTCGGAGAATTCTATCAGAATTAAAATGGAAACTGTTCGGATACAACAAAAAATTACAATTTGATGAGATCAAAAAATGTAACCCTGAAGTGCAATAACCAGGATTTATTTTCGGGGAGGAGAGGTTATATATTTAAAAAAATTAAATTTCTGAAGGTGGTTTGTAGGGAAGAATAAGTTTAAGTTAAATTTATGAGTAAAATCTTGAAACTGTTTAACTATTATAAATACATAATACATATTGGAAAATAATTTTAACTCATATTAAATATTTATTTTGGGGGAGAGAGATAAAACCTTAAAACTTCCTCCTGGTTACCCCACTGACATAGACGCCGTCAGAAATTCCATCAGGGGAGTGCATCATGCATAGTATACACACTGTTTTCTAAATAATGCTCGAATTATTTAAATTAAATTCGTAAAAATATTTTTTCAAATTGTATGATTAAGTATACAAAATTATTTTCCTTTCTTTTTTCGACGGCTACAAAGTAATGCAGGCTACTTAAAAATCCGATAATGATAACGATAGCTTCTATCTTACAATTTTATGTTTTATTCTTTTTTTTAATCTAGGGGTGTGCAAGTGCACCTTCTTGCGCCCGTTTCACGGTGCCCATGCCCACTGGTAATAATTATGAATTATAAAGATATCTTTATTCTTCATAGTAACATAGATTAGGTATAGAATAATTTATCATAATTTTATAATAGTTTTTTCTATAATCAATGATAGTAATAATCAATACCAATATGTCAGTATATGATACTTTGCAGTCAGTGACGTATTTTTATTTTTAGAGGTCACGGTTCTCGAACCCTTTAGTAGAAAAAAAGATTCAAAAGCAAGGGCACCCACAGATGAAAATTCAGGGGGGGCAGCATTAATTTTTATTAATAATCAAACATTTCTATACTAAACATTTTTATTAATTAATTGAACACAAATTGCAATTTTATTTTATTTTTCCCAAATTCATCAACAACTTTTTCAGCTAAATGAAGTTCTTCGATTTTTTTTCTGTGTAAACTTAACATACATAATCCAGATAAATGATTTTCACATATTGTTGAACGTAATCAGCTATGAATATTAATACACCTTGGTACCAATTATGATTTTTGGGATTTTGGGATATTTAATTTGAATATAATTATTTTAAATAGCTGGAAATCTAGGGAGGAGTTTTCCCCCTGCCCCTCCATGTGGGCGCCCTTGTTCAAATGTCATAAATGACTTACTACGAAGGTGCAGAAAAAGAGAATATTAATTTATATCATGTAGTGATAAATATATCTTCATTTGTATTTATAATAATAATAGAATAATATAATTATTAATTTATATCTTATATGTCTTTTTTATAATATTATAAAATGACTAATTTTTCAAATCAATTTTAAACACTCTACCCACAAAAAATTAAAACATTTGAAAATACGCCATTGTCTGTGTATCTAATACTTACACTACTTTTATTGTTTGTTAATACCATTAATATTTAGGAATCAGGAACAAGTTCCCAATTTACATGTTTGGAAGATTAACGAGTAATAATAGCAATAAAAGCAAAACTTTCAATAGATAGCGTTTGTGCGGCTTTTTGGATAATTCAGAAAACTGCAGGAGAAGAAACATGCTTTTGTATGATTCTTCACAAGAAATGCATCACCTCTAATAAATGTTTTATGTTTATCGTAAAATTCTTAGTATAAAATAATAATGCACGATATTCATCATCGTACCAATCATTGTCGGATGCATAGGCACAATTTGGGGAGGGCTTGGGTGTGCTTAGCACCCCCAAATGTGTTTATGTTAATTTACATTTAAATACTCATTACTCATTATGCATAGAAAAACATAATAGTTTTTGAGTTTTTTTGTATAAATATATAAATTTTTATACAATACAAAAATATTTCGCAATACGAAAAAAAAAATCTTTGCTATAGGATAAAAGTTTCAAGTTTCTAGCCATATTACTTTTGGAATTATGACTAAATAGGTAACTAAAATTTGAAATGTGAAAGTCTTATTTACAGCGTATTTTTACCATTTCAGGACAGTTTTTTCCTCATGTCTAGAAAAACTATTATGATTTAAAAAAATGAACTATCTAAAGTACCAATTTAAAATCTAAAAAAGTCCTAGAAAAAACTTTTGGGCCAGTATTTCTATCCGAAAAAGTGTTAAACAAATAAAATACAAAAATCATTATAAAACCATAATATTCTTCACTTCAGTCAGAATCTAAAAGTGATCATGTGATAAAATATCTGTGTTTACAGACAGGTAATTCATTATACGCGCAATAAAAATTTAAAATTAAAGTGAACAATTTAAATTTAGCAAATATTTTAGCAACTGTTGAATTGTACGGTTTGCGGGTGTCTATAACCATTAAGGAACATGAAAAAGGTAGAAGGGCTTCAGCACCCCCAGTTTTTTCATTGAAATTGCGCTCTTGGTCGGACGCTAATTTTTTTTTTTTTGTCCCAAAATTTGAAAAACTAATACTCAGGCTAACTCACGCCTAGGACGACATAAGACTACCGACCATCTGAATTCTAATTACCTTTACTAACATAGTAACATCTCATAGATATAACGTCAATGATCTCAGATCACCAGATTTAACAATTTGTGATTTATTTATATTAGCGTGTATACGGTCTAAAGTGTATCAAACAAAATCTGCTTTGGTGAATGAACAAAAGAAAAGTCAACAGAAGTGAAAAGACGATCGCGTCCACAGTCTTATCGTTGCGAATAATATCGTAGCAACACATAAATCTAATCATCTAACACATAAATGCATATATCAAAACGGACGTCATCAGAAAGGTATAATTTTATAAATATAATTGATTAATCATACGTAAAGAAAATGTCATGTTATAAAAATTAGTGTACATTAGGTACTTCATCGTCGATGGTGGATATGTATTACAATAATTGAAATGTATTGGTATTTGCCATTTTGTACTTACAAAAAATATTCATTTTAGGATTGATAATTCATCATAATAAACCTAATGCATCATAATTATATATTTTTATCGACTTTAAATGATTTATGATTCTCATTTTTCGAGGGTACTTGGTTGATGATATTTTAATAACCTTTCGCATTAATTAATAATTAAGTACAAATAACATCTACAATTAAATTAACCAATGATAATTTGTCATCAAATGTTATTAGAATATTATTATTCCATTTAATTCATTTAATAAATATTTTTTTTAAGTCTGGTAATTGCACATATATTCTACATAATTTGATAATTATAGTGTAAGAAAAATTCAATAATTGTTTAAATACAATTTTCATTATTTTATATTAACATAATGACTATCATAACTTTACCGTTGGGATATATTTTAAACAGGTACATATTTTTTAAATATTTTGCCACATTTCCTAAGTTTTATTTCTTATCATTAAAAGTACCCAAATTTATTATTGCCAACTTCATGCACGTGGTCCCTTATCTTAAGTCTGAACTATTAACGTCATATACCAATACAAGTACAAATATGAAATGTATTTCTTACTTAAAAGTTAATTTATAAAAATATAAAATAAACGAAATATTGTTTGTTTTCTTACTTACTGTCTTACTTTAGACTTCAAAGAACACTTATTCAATGTCATTATCAATAGATGCTTCAACGAGTTGGATGGATTTCAATTATCGCCATTTAAATTTTAACTTGATCGATTAAATCATTATGTTATTAAATCACGTTTATTTTATTTGCTTGTATTTTTTGTCAGCTTCTCATAAACTTGGTGAGTTTTTTTCCCCGCTCAACCTTAATTATTACTGCATAATATACAGACATGGTGATTTGTTGCAGTATCTTCAGATATTGTCATTACAATTTTAAGTCAACAAAATGATTACAGTGCTGACCAAGCATTAAGCTTGAAGAATAATATTTTAAAGCAAAAAAAATCTATTAAAGTTAGTGTACATATTATTTATTATATTCAGTAACTTGCTTTAGTTACTAGTTAATAATATTATCTATTAAAAAAAAATTCTATTTTATCAATTGTATCAAACAAAATTTAGTAAATATTTTAATATTAATGATTACATTTATAATTATTAGTATTCATACGTTGATAGTTGAGTGTTAATAAATAAATAAAATTAAATAAGCATTATAACTTTGCTGATGCCTAAGTTGATGTATAATTTTTATTCAAAATCTATTTATTGAAATTATTTGATTCGTTTGAACTGTAAAAGCATTCAATTGATAAGGTTTGAAATAAAATATAGTTATTTTTATTTGTTCTTAATTTTAAATTTTACAAATTATATTTCCATAAAATATTAACATTTCAATGTTCACCTTATAGAATGCACATTTTGGTGAAGTATACATGCTCCATGAACAATTTCCTGGACCAGGGAGTTGGACAATTATTCCAATAATAAAATTGTAATAAAATATTTGCATGGAATTGTTTTTAAATGTTCAACTAGTATTCTCTTATATTTATTTTAGATTGTATCAAAATAATGAACATTCAAAATGGTTTTTGTTTTGTGAAGAAAATGCTTTTGTGAATTACAAAAATTTACTTTTATTTTTGGAGAGTAAAAACTCTAATGAAGTGAGTATGTCATATAAATTATCAAACTTATAAAATGAATATGAAAATAATTATTCTAGTATTTTGCTATATTATTCCTAGTACAGTAAATAGTTGATGAAATATTTTAATTACCTTATGCAAGATTAAATTTCTATAACTTACATAAATTAATCTATCTATCATTGAAATTATGTTTTACTTTAGATTATCTTGTAGATGATTTTAGCTTATTACTTAGTTTAATTTCTTATGTAAAAAATATGAATTAATTTTTTTTTTTTATTTTCTTTTTAACTATATGGAATTTAGTCTGTTTGGATGGGATATGGTGTGAAAGATAAATACCCTACAATCATTCATCATTATGCTTTTGAAGAAGATGAAAGCAAAAGGGTTACTTACCCACTATTCGCCGCAGGATTTCTGATGTCTGTTGAACTATTAAAAAGGTCTGTATAAAACTATTAATTTATTTTATTTAGTTTATTCTTGAATTTTTTTTCTTTTTAATTTTCATAGTATAGTTGATAAAAATGTAGAAGGTATTGGCTCTGACTTTTCAATTGATGCTTCTTATGAGTTGGCATTACTAGTCAATCATAAAATTCAACATTTACCTTTGAAATTTTGTTTAAAGTTATCTCCAGACTGTGTTGTCCATCCTCTAGCTGAAAGAAGTGAATGTGTAAGTAGTATATTTATATATTATCAATTCAATTTTTACATTGTAATCAGTTTTTTTCTAGGCACATTATGGAAAGGTGACCAAAGATTCAATTTATTTTGCTGTTAAAACCTGCAGTAAATTCCATAACGATAGAATACCTGTATTGCAATCTACCTGGGGCCGAGATACTGTTCATATTGAATATTTCAGTGATAAACTTGGTACTTTATATCTTTAAGTTTAATATGTATTAAGTGTATTAAAAAAAAATAAATATTCTTAGACAATACAATACCAACAACAGTATTAGATGTACCAAATACAGAAAGAGGACATTGTTTAAAAACATTGACAATTTTGAAATATCTATCTAAGAAACTTTTATCAAACAAATCAGTGAAATGGATTGCACTGACTGATGATGATACTCTTTTGAGGTAGTTTTAGTTCATTAAAAGCTTTATTGATGATTATAAAAATAATTTTATTTTTTCTTAGTGTTCCTCGATTAGCATCTATATTGAGCTGCTGGAATGGTCAGCAAATTGCGCTTGGACAAAGATATGGTTACAATATTCGAGGAGATCAGTCTTTAGGCTATAACTATTTGACAGGTGGAGGAGGTATAATATTTAATGTTGCCTTGGTACATAAATTGGGTACCAATTGCCGATGTTATGCCCATGATGCACCTGATGATATGGTTATAGGCATGTGCTTGCAGTCTTTAAATGCCACGGTGGTTCATTCTCCTGTTTTTCATCAAGTTGAATAACAATTAAATATAGTATTGATCTTTGTTACACACAATTTTTTATTTTATAGGCCAGACCGCAAGATTATGCTGATGAATATTTGGAATCTTATCCAATGGTATCTTTTCATAAGCATTGGATGATTGATCCAATTGAAATCTATCGTCATTGGCTATACCAAGATTCTTCTTTTGGGCATGATGAACTTTAAGGTATCAAATTAATAAATACTCTAACGCAAAAAAAAACCATTTTTAATAAAAAAAATTTAAAAAAAAATACAATAATATTAACCTTGATAATAACAATTAATACAAATGTAAATAATAGTTTTAACATCTTTAATAATTAGAAATTTGAATTTCTCGGTATATCTCAATTTATAAAATTATAGCTTTGATCGTACTGCTATCTCTGTCCACCAAGTTGGCCTTTCAAAAGTTGATTTATCTTCAAATAATACTTTTTTCAAATTATCATAAACCTAATACAAAATGTAATATACAACAAACAATTACTATTAAATTTAAATATTGATAATTTAATAATTTTTTACACTTTTACATTAGTTTTAGTAATTTATTAATTTAAGTTTAAATTTATTAATGTTAAAATATTGATGTATTTTTTAAAAATATTAAACTTTATACAATGTTTAATATTTACTTGGTTTTGTTAATTTACCTTTCCATTTGAAGCAGCTAACACAGAATTTAGTATAAAATCTGGAGGTACTATAGCATCAGCAAGTGTAACAGCCTCATCCTTAAGACTTGAACATAGTTCTATAATGGATCCTTTAACTATTACTGATGCCAATGGCCCATTGGCATAACCACCTATTGAATCAAGTAAAAATACTTACAATTGTATAAAATGTAATATTTATAAATACGTACCTTCATACATAATAGACAAATGTTTTTCAATTGACCAAAATCCATAGAGTGAAGCAAGTTTCTGTAAAACTAATTTGTGAGGGATATCTAAATTTGGAGATTTTGTTGTTTCAATAAATTCTTTTAGAACAAGATACTATAGGAAAATAAAATATATATATATGTATATATATATAATACATTATAAAAGTAATTAAAATAATATATTACTTACTTCTGCAAAAACTATTGATAGATCTCTAGCAAAGAACATCTGAGAATCATTTTTTGCAGTAAATACATCTTTTTGTTGATCTTTCAATAACTGTAATTGTGCATGTGTCTGTCGTAAAAGATAACATATCATCCATTCGAAACATGAAAGTAACTCTAAATCTATCCATATAGAAATATATTAAAATTATGTCATGTTTAAAATGTATAATAAATTACGTGTGTATGTGAAGACTTCATTTATTCTGGACAATTTAAATTTTTCATTCAGTATAGTTTCTGCTTTTTTCAGAAATCCTATAGTACCTAATGGAGTATCACAACAACTCTTATCTCCGTTCAATAAACTTGCCCAGATATTTAACAGCCAATTACTCGTTTGTTGTATTAATACATTATTATCACCTTCATATGTACAATTAGCATCATTCGCACTCCGTAATTCACTAAGTCCAGCAGCTAACAATAATATTAAATAAATACAAATTTAACTTAATTTGATACTCAAAATTACCTTTTAAATACCCATGACCACCACATGCTTCTCTACATTCTTGAATTGCATCACGACATGTCCATGCAGCAATGGGTTTTGAGCAACTAGAAACTGCATGGATTTCTACACCAAGTAATCGCTAAACAAATTAAACTTGTATAATATTTTCTTTACATTTTTTTAAAAAAATTTTTATAGTTACAAGTTTTTCAGAACCAGCATTTGTCATCATCTCCATTATAAATGACTCATAAACTTTTGCCACATAATCGCCATAAATTTTTAATGCATATGCAGCAGCCAAATTTGGGATTAGTCGACATTGCTAAAAATAAGATTGATTAGTTTGATATTATATAAAACAAACCATTAGAAATTAAACAAAAATACAATTTGTATACAATATGGATTCTAGTTTAGAAATAAATTAATAAATTAAAAATCATATTTACTACTAGCTGATATTCTAATACTGGTAATTCTTCACCATTTGGTGGTCCAAACTGTTTCCTAACACCTGTATATCTTATTGCTATTGGAACCGCTTTTGTAATGTATGCTACACATATATTAACAATACTTAACCTTCCAATCGATAAACTTCCCAATGAAGCCCCTATAAATATAAATTATATTTTTTAACAATACTGGTTAATGAAGAATAAAATTCAATTTTAAATTTAAATTTTACTACTTTAATTATACAAAATACTAAGTTTTTACTTCAAAATATTTTAAAACATAATTCAATAAACAAAAAGTATTTACTGTGTAAATAATAAATACTGAGTATCATAAAAATGTACTAATTTTTACAGGATAATACCAACAGTTATAATGACCCTTCAGTCTTAAATTATAAAATATGTAAATATTAGAAAAATAATGTAAACAATACATTGTTTATTTAGTAAACATAATACACTACTTTAACAATTGTAGCTTTTAATATAATTACTGTTTAAATAAGAAGTAATAATAAAAGTTGTATTATTACCTAATCGTTTTGATTTATTTTTGAAAGGTGAAATGTATTGTCCATTATCATTTATATCTCCTGTTTTGCTTAGTAAACTTTCCTTTGGTATACAATAGTTATTAAACATTATAAATCTATTAGGAAATATTAATTTAAGTGTTACAAAATATACATATGTAATATTAGAAAATAACATACCCATTATCCACTCCATTTAAACTAGCTTTTTCTCCCAAATCTCCAACTATAACTCCAGAATAAGGTAACATAGTTTTTGGATCTCTTATACTAACAACAAATGCATGTAATCCATGGTCATCACCATTACTCATAATTAACTTGGCCCATATTATTGCATGTGTACTTGATTTTCCTAAATAATTTCAATTATATTTATACAAACAGGTGTAAATAAATCATTATTACAATATTAACTAAAAGTAAATTTCGTTTTATATAACAAATTATATTAAAAACTATTTTAAGATGTATTCTAAGTATAAATAATACATTATCTATCTAAAAATAAAATAATTACCTAAACTACCAACCCAACATTTTGCTGCTTCAAAATCTGGAGTGTTTAAAATAAATTTTTTTATATTATTATCATATAATGCTACTGTTCTCATTTCTTTAGTATTAGTACCATGTGAAATTTCTGTAAGTGCAAAACAACCAGGAACCTAAAGTTTTAATAAAATTTTTTATACAAATTTACATAATTATTTATTATGTTAAATGTAATATATCTCACTTTTCCTTCTTGAGCCTTTTGATATAAATCTGAATTTCTTCCATTATCCATACTAAATATTACATTAGAAAACATGTCAAACGTAAGTCCAACTTTTATTGCAACAGACGGACAGTATTGAAACATCGATATAATCTTAGCTAAAGCCTGCAAATTCAATATTTCATTATTTAATAAAAAAAAGTAAATTACATAAAAATGTTTACTGTATTTACCAGTCTAGGACTTGTCATTATTTCATCAAATGGATAAATATTTGATTCTACAATTTTGTACATCCTTAATAATGCTAATCTTCGTTGCTCATCTAATGACAATGTTTCATTGGAATGTTGAAAAAGTGGATCAGATTCAAAAGCTTTCCAAGCTCTCATCTAATCATTATAATATAATACTATTATATTACAAAACATAGTAAATTTAATAAATATATTAATTAAGCACCTTATATCGTAAAACTTCTTCAGTTTCTATAAAAACTCTCATTTTTTTCCAATCAATAGTAGCACGTTTTCTGTAAAAATCTAAAGGTCCAGATTCAAAATCTTTTAAAATATCTGGACAAGTATTCATTGTGATCTACAAAAGAAATTAAAAATAGTATTTTATTATTATTTAAATATAAGTCTTAATTATATTTCTATCGATGAAATTATAATGCTCCTTGATATTTCAACTATACAATTAATTAATACTACTATTAACCTATTATATCCAAAGAAAATAAAAAATAGAAAAACTATGAGAGATAAGTTCATCACACTGGAATAACCATTTGAAAATTTTTTAGATTCCAATATTATGAGGAGTTTACTGATAAGTTTTATTTCTTAAAGTGAAAATGGTAAACAATAGCAATTTATCTTTTGTCCATTTTGGAACATAATCCCATATGTTGTTAATATAGGTAAGGCTTTTCACATATTTAAAATTATTTAGGATACTTAAATATACTATACAGATGATTAGTAATACAGTCCAGTCCTTCGGTATAATTTATTCAGAGGTTACTAGGTTACAATAGATTATAGTTCAATAGAACAATATCTTATTAAGAAGAGTTAGTTGTTCTAGTTAAAAAAATGAAATTACATTTTTAATGAATTATAAAATTATAAATTGTAGGTAATTTAATGAAATAAGTGTTAGGTATAGGTAATATTTAAATATTATAATTATGTTGTGTCAATCAGTAAAATTACCTCGGAGTTAATTGTGCTTGAATACTTAAATTTTTTTTGAAAATTAAGTTTTATTCTACGTCTGATTACAAACATTTTGATACTAAAATCTAAAATAAAATACATACAAATGAGATACTAACAAATTGGATGTATTTCTTAACAAATAAAAATTGTAGTTGATATGTTTTTAAATGAAAATTAAAAGGACAACCATACTTAATGATAAATTGCTCCATCACCAATAATGGTAGACATATAAGCTAGGAATATTGAAATAAGTATGTGATAAATTGATATACAATTAGTTACCAGTATTTTAACATTTATCTTTATACAATATTTATATGTTGATATATTTTGATATCACAGTATTTTCAACCAAAAGGCATTATTTCAATATTTATATATTTATTATTCATGTAAAAATAAAAATATATAAAGTAAGGTACTTTAGAGTTAAATTGAAAATTTTAAATAAATGTAGATTATATTACTGTATACATTTTTTTATAGTAATTTAGGTTAATTTTAGTACAAATTTAGAATTAAATTTGTTTATTTTCTATTGAAATTAAATTTGTATTCGGAATACACATTTCTACTATGATTTAAATTTATTAAACATTATGCACCTTCTTTAAAGGTAAAAAGGTAAAATTTTATATTATCTTAATACCCCTATAGAAAAATAATAGTTTCCACGCTATTTATTCTAATGCAATTTGAGGTACTAACAGTAGGTCTTAATTTGAACCAAATTGTTTCTTAAATGTAGTTACCATCATAATGAGTATATCACAGATAAATGATACAGACAATGGCGTATTTTTGGAGGAAGGGAGGTCTAGAGTTTTAAACTTCGCCAAGAGGAAAAAAAAGTTCAATCATAAATGACTTGCTCTAAAGGAACAGAGAAATAAAACATTAATTTATACCATATGGTTGTAATATTTGTATAATAATATAATTATAATTTTATAAAATTAATTATTTTTTAGAACAATTGTAAACCCTCCCCCCTAAAAATTTGAAAATGTGGCACTGTATACGGATAATCGATGAATGTACAGCAGCATATTGTACCTACCTCGTTTGGTTTTTTTGCGAATTATGTATAGTTTTGTAAATAATAATCGTTAATAATTGTTTTATAATTTTGTATAGTTTCAAAGTTATATTGAACAGAGAGGAAAACTGAAACAATATTTGTAATTTAAACAGAACAAGACTGTAATGATGAGAAACCAAAACACGAATAATGGGTCATCAAACAAGTGAACGGCATGACACACATGGGTTGTACTATTATTAATAAGTAATTGTTGTGTTGCAAGGCAACACGTAATTACAATCGCTATTACGGACGCGAACGGTAATTGATCGACGTATAAAAAAATAATAATAATACATGATAATACTTTTTAAAAGAAAGCTGATAAACCTTATCTACATATGATAGCTGCACAAAATAAACATTCCGTGACAGCTGTAAACATTGAATGGCCGCTGCACGTGATACGTGGATTTGAAACCAGATACCGCTGCAGCGTTCAGAAATGATATTGGAAAATGTATTACACTGCAGATGACTACATCGTCACTTCAATCCGTTTCTCCGATGGCCATTAGGAACTGACGGTTTAAGGAAGTTCCATAAATATCTATATCATAATCAGTGTTGGCGCTAGGTATTTGCGGGGCCCTAGACATAGGTATTAGCCAATAGGTATCCAGAGGAGGGAGGGCAAAATTCTAGCTTTTTATTAAAATCGGGATTTATTCTTTCTTCGAATTTTAAACATTAAAAATAATAATGTTAAATTATTCTTATAATTTTTTTTTTTTATTATTATAATGTGTTAACACAAAATTATTTACAAATAATAAAAAATAACTAATTTTAATTTAAAATTTAGATACCTATCGATGGGTGGTTTATGTACGTATCGACTGTACTTACGGTTTAATATACATCTTAAATCGTCACTGTACTCTATGTCTACAAGGGCATTATAATTTATTGTAAATTATTTTCTTGGAATACATTTTAAAGTGGGCATTAATGAGACAAGAGGTCCCAAATATTTAAATAAATTTGATTCAGGATGTGTATTAAGACACGAGAACTTGTGTAGAGTTTGTGTGGAGTAACAGAAGATTTTTTAACATAGGAGTTGGTGTGAATCAGGGGTCGGCTCTTAGCCCTTATTTGTTCTCTGTGAAAATCAGTGGTGTTCAAATGATTTTGTCATGAGGGGAAATGCAACTGATTTTTTTAACAAATATTACTTATAAAAATCTGTATTATTAAACATTTCCTACACTTCTCACATGTGGGATATTCCCGGAAACTTTCCTCGGACATGTTCATGATTTTATTTTCCCGAAAAAGTGCACATCCCTGGTCTATATAGAAGATAATTATAATTATTATACCATAACAGGGGCATATATAAGGGGGGAATGTGGGGTCAGATCCTCCCCATAAGCCTAAACCTTTTTAAAATTGTATAAAATAGTGTTCTTAATGTAAGGATATTATAAAGAAACAAAAAAATATTGCAAGGATTTATTGTAAACAGTATCGGATTAATAAATTTGCTGCATAGGGACAGATTTTAAAATTTCATCTTTCAACCCCCTCCACAAACCAATATATATTTATATGTATACAACAAGTAACAACATAATTAAGTTTGTTTAATTAATTTATATTTATAAACATATTGTAGCATCAGTAGTTTTTAAATTTATAGACTTTAGTAGGTACTAAATATAAACATTTAAATACAAATTTATTCAATATAAAACATTTACAACTATATTTTAGCTATCTGTGCAGCAAACTCTTTAATAATATTATTTCAACCTATACTTTTTAGGAAAATATTTACAATAAATATTAGAGACAACTATGACTACTTTCATTAGATAATTATGTTTTCTGGTAGTTCTTAACTGTTTTTAAAGATGAGAACGATCTTTCTCCGCTAGCATTTGACCATAAAAAGTTTTAAAGCTATTTACACAATAGGTAATGAATCGTTTAACTTTAATACTGTTAATACTTCAAGAAAACTGTGCATAGTTAATTCTTCATCTTCTGAAAAATACTTCATTATTGTATTAAATTGTATAATCTCATTCTCAAGTTCCTGTTATAAACACTATAAATATTTACTAACTCCTTTTTGATTTTTCTCGTAAAATATCATCGTCAATTCCTTCCATATTAAAAAAAAAAAAAACCCCAAACCACTCATTTATTTCAATATATTTATTTTTATGCGCTTTCCATTCATATTGATTAAAGATAAAATATTAGGCACGTTTTACAGTCAATCGTGATTAGTGAATCAAACTCGATAACGAAGACAACTATGACCTCAAGACTCGAGAGAGATATAACAAAAACAATTTCTTAGTAATGTGTAAATAAATTATTTGAAACTATTAATAGGTATCAAATTTAATAATCTGATCGTTATAAATTATAATACACGCATAGAGTTATATAAGAAGTACAATGAACATAATTTTATGTCAGTGTAACGCAAATAAAAATGCATAGGTCCGAGTGCTAAATAATAATAATATGGTTTACCCTTAATATGCTAAACGCCCACAAACGAAATAACTCAGCAGTATAATATAATATAAAATAACTATTATAATTATAATATTATGTAATTGTTATTAATATTTTTCAATAATAAAATAATAATTTTTTCTAAAAACTAGTATATACATTAGAAAAAAAAAAATTTCCGCCCCTAAAATTTTGTCACCCGGGGCAGCTGCCCCCTTTGCTCCTCCCCCATTTAACCAGAAACTGATTGTAAATTATTATTTTGACACATTCAATATATATATATATATATATCTTTTATTATTTATTATTTAAATGTGCAGGTACTTAGGTTTTTGAATTTTCCTTCCATAATGATTTGTTTGCAACTAATCCCTCCCCCATACAAAAGTTATGTATATGCCACAGTACCATACACAGTGACACAATGTATACAAATATACTTAATACTATATGGTAGTTGTAAGACATATGGTCAAAAAAAAAAGAAATAGAAAAAAGAACATGGGGGATGTATCCCTATTACCCGCCCCCGTTCGACTGCCACTGCTTATGACCATAATAAATTAATTATAACTCCAACTTAATAAAAACAAAACTAAAAATTTCTACATAATTCAATTAGTTTTAAAATAAATTATTATATTCAGTCAGTGGTCAGTGTCTGCTTATTGAAAATATTTAGATTATATAAGCCTAGAAATATTGAATCTCAGTATATAGTAGTATAAAATGGATTTATGTATTCATATGAATATGTTATATTTAACAAAATAAATAGAAACACATTTATAAAATATTATTTTAGTATATCACATTATAAACAACTAAAACATAAAGTCATACTTTAAATTGTTATCAAAGCAAATATTTTTTAAAAAAAAAAAACTTATTGGAAAAAATGCATTTAAATAAGCTGGATTTATAGAAATTAAACATTCATACATACTTAATAAAATGTATAAAACTTAAAAAAAACAATTTAAAATAATTATCAAAAAAATTAATAAAAAATAATATATTTAAAATAATAACAAAAAATTATATACATAAAAAAAATAAATAGCTTTTACATAAAGTAATAATTTCAATCTTTAACAATATAAATCTTTTTTTAAAATAATTAAATACAATAAAATGTATACATTTGAATAAGCTGAAATTTATATAAATGGAACAATAATAATTAATATAATAAATAGAATATCAACTTCAAAAAACAATAAGAAAAAATTTAAACAAGTAAAAAAAAAACAAAAAAACAACATTCATGGTTAATTTTGTAGCAAATAAGAAGAAATAGTTTTTCACGTCATTGATAATAAGTAAATAATTTTCAGTAACAATGTCATTATTCATTCTAAATTATTCATCTAAAAAATTAAATCACAATTAAATTATAGTGTTAAAATAATAAAACATATTCAATTACCTCAACTAACTGCAAACGCGTGACTACATCTTCTTGTTCATTCGGATTATTTTGACAATCCATACTACTGTCAGCTGTTACCTAAAAAATTATAAAAATCAAACTGCAGTTACAAAATTAACTATTAAAATCAATATAAATATAATAAAAATTAAAGTAAAGTTTTTCTTGTTTTTCTTACCATGCTTACTTTTTTTCCAAAACGTTTTTTTCGGAAAATATCTCCTGTTTGATCCTTACTAAAAAACCAATGACTCATTGTATGTAATATGAATTTATCATCATTAATCATATCAGGATTACCAACATCCCTCGTAATATGGGTTCAATGAAACACCAATCCAATCCCACTAAAAATATAAAATAAATAATTAGTAAATTAAAAAATTAAAAAAATAAGATCACTTACTTCAACATTAATATATGTTACAAATAAAATGGTTTAGAGCAGTAACCCTCCTGGAGCTTCACATAGATGAACACTGCAGTGTTTAGCACCATTAATACTCTTTTGAGGTATTACATCATTATTATTTAATATTTCATAAAACTTCAACCAAGCTGTAATTAATAACTTGGGACATCCAGCTCCTCTAACTTTATATAGAACTTCATCAACTGGATTAGTTTGATTGGTATTCTTCTGCATTCATCCAAGGTGAAATCATCAAGTTTATCTTTGACAATATTTGTTGTTTTTTTTTAAAGTGATAAAATCTGGTAACTAAAAAAAAATTAATTAATTAATACTTAATTATAATTAAATTAACAAGTGCATAACTGGGATTGTTTTTAAATAATTTAGCCTATGTACTTCTTATAATTTTTCTTAATGGTCAAGTAAGAAAAGAATAGTGAGGAGGACTTGAGGAAAGCTTATTTCTATTATAAGTACATTATTTCTCTTAATTTTTTCAAAGCTTAACGTTGCATTTAACTCTTATGTTATATGAAATATGAGACACAATTTTAAAAATTACATAACATTTCAGATAGTCATTAAATTGAAAAAATGTTAATGTTTCAGAGTATAATCATTCAAGTGGGTAAATTTTTTTTTCAAAAGGATCAGGTCATAAAAATTTGGCATGATCAATTTAAATTAATTATATTGCATCTAAAACTTTGATTAACATTTAAGTATAAAAATAGTTTTAATCAATAATACATATTTATTTATCCCCCCCCCCCATTTTCTTTGACTCAGCATGTTGTTTTTTTTTTTTTGGAAGCTTCCACTTGTTGGACTTATTCATCGTACATTTATTTAAGAACAGTTGATTAACTTCGTTGTACTGCGATCGTTTTCCACAAGTGTTGTTGTGTGGTTTTTTATTTGTTGATCCATCATACTTTGACCAAGACGACTTACAGAACTGTTCTATCCTATGTAGTCGCCTAATCATCGTCCCAGTAGTGGATAGTGACGGTGGCCTAACGGGTCATCCCCACACCTTTACAGTCGCTGGATGACGACCGAAATGGACCCGCTACGTTGGAACCGGTTTTGACACCGGAATCTCCCACTCCCGCAGACCACTGAGGTTCCGAAGCCCTTAAATGTGGTTACAATATTAGACTTAAAGTACTTCATTTGTAGTTTTTCAAGTGATTTCCTTCACTACGTCTTAACCTTACTGTCATGGGGTTTTTGATCAAAGTTTTCCTTCCTTTAAGACGGCTCACAACCGAGGCTTAAGATCCCGTCCTACCCTTTATTGAGAACCACTTTGTCAGCCCTCAGTTCATCGACCTGTCCAACATAGGAAACCCTGTTGGTAGTAAGCTACCGTGGGCATTGCTCTCGGAACTATTGAGGGACGCAAGCCCCCCACCAAGTCAAGGTGGGTCGTCGTAGAGGTTAGTCACGCTGGATGAGACTTACACAGCCCCACCAGCGAGGCTGGGTAAGAACATATTTTTTTTTCTACACCTCTGTAAGGGATGACTGTCTCACGGCCGTTCTAAACAAAGCTGTAAAATATTTTGTGAAGGCTTGAGTGTGAGGGAATGTTTTGTACTTGCCTCAATAAAAGTTGTGACGTAAAAAGAATAAGTTATGGTGATCCGCCCCCGAAGTATTTCTTTATCGGCAAATACGGGTGGCGAGCTTATTTCCAGTTATTAGACGGGGGGAAGTCCCACAGTACTTTGGGTACCCACAGACGGTGTTAATGGAAAAGTTCACGTTAGTTAAATTAATATTTATTTAGTACCTAAGCCTTCTTTTTGGTCTCCAAAGCTATGTCTGTAGGAAATTTAACACTCTCGTAAAATTATTGAACTTGCCCCTCAATAATTGTTTCTAACTGGGCTGTTGCTATTTGAGGTTTTATATTTAAGTAATGAAAATAGGACAAACTTCAACAAAATGTACTTTAAAACTTCAACGAGGAAAGTGTTAAGTACACACCTCATTTGCCAAAGGCGTATTTGTGTTGACGGCATGGGGGGGGGGGCGAAACTAATTTTTCTTCAATACAAACTTAAAAATAATTTACAGTTCATAACCTATAACTCATGTTTCTGTTATAATTATAACATATTATAATGATAAACCTTAGTAATTTATCCTCTTAATTATTTATACATTAAATTTTTTAAATCAATGTATTATATTAAAAAAAAATACGAGCCATGGGGGTCGAATGCTCCCTTCCCCCCTCAAATACGCCATTGTCACTCGCTTCAAATATTTAAAGTAATTAAATGTAATTTATTTTAAAATATTTAGCAAAAAATAAATTACATTTTGTAATAGAAAAACTAAAACTACCTTTTCGTGCAAAAACTTATTATGACAATATAACAGCTGAAATTGACTACAAAAATACAAATCATAAATAATTATAGCTGCCTGAGAAAAATTTATGAGATTTATTATATTAGTTATTTATTATATTCATTATTAAAATGTTAAAATTAATCATCCATTTCAATTTTTTTGAGTCAATTACATTTACTTTAACAATCATTTATATAACTATTTTTTGCTCATAAACCTATTGACGAATACATCATAAAATATGGTTATGACGTGTATACTCGAAAATGGATTCATAACAAAGTAACAATGAATTCCTATTACTTTTTATACGTATTAGTGCACAACCTTAATATTATAATAAACGATTATTTGAACTATTTCATTATTTAATGTGTAGTATTATTCATAAATCATTCAATCAATGTAGACTCATCCAAGAATGTACACAAACCAATTATTAATACATTTTAAATAAAATAACACAAAATTAAAAAAAAAAGATTTGAAATTTGGTTGATAAGTTTAAAAATTTGTATATTTACATATTGATTGTATGGATTAAATTAGAAAATGATTTTTAAATAGCAATATAATGAAAACCACGAGCGAAGTAATTGTGCGTTAATTGTGCACGTTTGTGCTCTATAAGTTTTGATCAGACATAATAACCAATAATTAATCATTTTTGTAATAATTAAAATTGTTATGCAAACATTTTTTATTTAACAATATAGGATGAACCTAGTATAAAATTGTTATGTATTTGTACTATGTATTTGAATAGTATAGATATGATCCCTTGACCTTGACCACTGGACTGATAATGTTATAATGTTTCAAAGTTCTTGTTAAGTCAACTTTTTTGGTGTTTTTGTGTACCTAATTATAGTAAAAAATGTTATGGTTATCATAGGCGTAGCTTGGTATTATTTGTGGGGGCTATATTATAAGACTAGAACAATGTATTCCAAAAACTCCTTATCTTTAGTTTGAATTAAAGCTAAAGAGAACATTTCCTAGAAAAAACAATTTATATGTGTCTCATTCTTTACCTGACATTTTATTTTACAATACATAAAAAAACAATTAATTCTGAGTTATTAAATTAAATTATTTTTTTTTTTAAATAACTAATAAAATATCTTCTTTTAACAGTTAATTGAGTTTTGCCCAACTTTTCAAAACACTATCAACTAAACGACAAAACATTGTCACTGAGTGACATTTAAGTCACCTAGTTAACACGTTTAAAAAATGCACTGAATAAACATACAAACATTTTTAACAACTGATAACTTTTGGTGCGTGGCAAAATTGTAATAAAAATAATTTTAAGGAAAAACTTTTATAAAAAATTTCAAAACATCGATGTACCGAACATAAGCCTCGATGTTATAAAAACATCTATGTTTTTTGCTCACCTTTAGTATTTATGTTTAGTTTAATTTGAGTTGGTCCTGTTTCCAAGTTCCCTAAGTCTAGCAAAAATGAGTAATTTAATGCAATTTCAGAATGCTTGGATTGAATATTGGTAACATCAGGTATTGACAAATTATTAATTTTAATTTTACTATTTATTAGACTTGGATCATCCACTGCAAAGTCTTCGTTGTCCCTAGTTGGTGGTAATGTTTTCTTGTCAGGCTTTTTCTTTACATTAAAATATACTTAACATTTTTTTTTTTAAAAAAATAAGAAAAACAAGAAAAAAAGAAACAAAGGTATTAAAATTAATTAAAAGTGTAAGAAGTAATATGCTTTATAGTAAAATATAAGACAAACGTGTATGTGATTAGCAGTAGACAAACAAACAACAAAGACCAGTCACTAATTTTGTGAAAAATACCAATAAATAAATAATTATTATGTGTGTGTTCCATACAAATGGCCGTTATCGTTATATTATCATCGGACGACGCGACAATGCATGACCCGATGATTGCACAGGGTAAATCCAAAAAATTAATATGACTTTGATCTATAAATAAAAATGTTTGTGATAAAAATAAGTAGTTATATGTATGTTATTGCAATAATTGTCAATACACAATAGACTGCTAATATTTAAAGCTTGATGAATTGTAGGAAAAATTATAAAAACATTAAAACTAGAGTTTATTAATTTTATATAAAATGAGGGGCTACAGAAATTTCTATGAGGGCTAAAGCCCTCACAGCCCCATGCATACTACGCCCATGATGGTTATTTATGAAAACATGGTAAATAATTGTTAGAAACGTCGAACAGAAATTGCCCTGATAAATTCAAACGCTAATACAAAGATGTAGAGCGATACAGTATTTAAAATGTAATTTTTATAATTTTCATGTTACATATATGAATATAAATAAGAGTAAGTATTATAACAAATATAAGAGTATTTTATGATGTGAAAAAAAATAGTAAAATTCTTATAATATCAATTTTTGTTCTTTAAAGTAGGTATGAAGTTTTAATCGTTAAAATTAGTCATAACATTATATTAATTTTTTTTTTAAATAATAAAAGCGTAGTAAATACAACCCCTAATCCTATTATCGGTTGTTGTATTATCTTTTCGGAATTGACGTTGTTGAAATATTTAAAAATCCTCACCTGTAAAAACAAAAAATTACTGGTGTACGACATTAGTCTAATACATATGTTGTTGATAGTTTTAATTCTGAGTACATTTAAATTGTATTCGCCGCAACATTTATTTAACAAAACTGAGAGAATTGATAACTATTTTAGTAAATATAGATTTAGTGAAGGTGATAAAAATATTAGTTGAATAGTTTCAAATTCTCTTCAATATTTTTTAAATGAATACATTGTTTAGCTGCTGAGTTATTATTATTTTTTTATTTCGTTTTACAAAACAAACAAAAATGTATTAAGACATTCATGATTTTTTATTATAGTTATAAATATACAAGCATTTGAAGTAGGAACAACAAACAATAAAAAAGTAGCTAATGTTTTTGACGTAAAAAAACTACTCATATAAAGAAAAAACAGTGTTATTAATTTTGGTATTATAAAGTTTATGGACTTTATCTTAGAATTTTATTCGGAAATGGGAGTGTTATATATTCTCATAAACGGATTATATACTATCGTTTCTATAACTGTCATTGAATTAACATTCTTTAAGTAACAGAAAAATGCATATGTCCATATTTTATGAACAATTGAACAAGGTTAAATAAATAATTTTTATGAACGTTATATTTTTTATCTAACTTATTTTAATCGATAAAATATTATTACTCTAATGATTTTATCAATAGTTACGTGTCAAAATACATTAGTATTTTTGGGAAATAAATGTGTTATGAATTATGGTTATCAATTATCATTTATCATATAAAGTTAAATAAAATACATATTAATTATTGATTTCTATAAAACCATTATTGATATATACAAAATGTATTCATCGAAATAACATACAATATGGTTGATTATAGTCTGGTTTATTAGTGATAGGTGAACAACTGATTGGCATAACCTAATTTTTAGAGTATAAACCAAGTGAAATAATACCCAAGATCTCATTTATTTGAACCGGGATTTTCTAACTTTTCTCTGTTTTCATTTAAAGATTGAATTTAAAGTTTTCACAATAGTGAATAGTGCACGTTTAAATTTAAAAAATTTCAAACAAAATTTATAATTAGATTTGTGAAAACAATATATTAAAATTAAGTTTTTTATTAACTGAACATTTTTTTTTACTGTTTAAATATGAATATTAATTTTATAAACTTCTACCAATTTTATAAATTTACTTTTTATTTTATAATTTCAGATTTTCTTATTTTAGCAACAGAAATTATGAAAATTTATTAATAAGAATTTTTTTAATGTGAAGTGAATTTTTATCTAGAATTATGAGTTTTTGGCTCTTGATACTGATAATCGAATATTCTTGAATTATAATTAACGTATTAAACAAAAAAATTTATGTTTCGATAACATTCTGATTCAAAATACTTAGTTGAACCGACATATCTTAGTCGAGTATATCGATTTCTATTTTATTTTTGTTTATGTATGAATATCCAATTGTTAATTACGTATCGGTTTAAATCACCAAGTATTTACGTTAGAACTACGTAATATGTAAATATATTGTGTACTAAATACAAAAAAGTAAAAACTAATAAGTATTAAGTTATATAGTGGAAATCAATATCTACAGAGTTATCGAATTTCAATTCATCTAAATTTATAATATACTTTATAAATTTAATTAAATGTAGTCATGTAGGTATCAACAACATATATACTTATGTATTAGAAACGTGGGAGTATTAAGAAGGAAAATACCTTATTACGTATATACATAGTCATTTATCACAATTTAACTGATAAAAATTTTTTCAATATATTAAAATAAATAAAATAATTAATGCTACTTCAAAAAACCATTTTTTTTTTTTTTTAGATATTTGAACCAAAAAAATACTGTGAACACAAAGGTGTAATATTATATGTAGCCATTTAGCTTTAGTGATTATTTATTTTATTCTTGAGAGTTTATACAAAGTTTTAGAGAAAGAGCAATACCATATGATTTTATTTATTTCACATTATAATAGTATTTAAATAATTACAAGTTAATATTATTTTTCCAGTGTTAGAAAATGCGCTGCCTAATGGTTCCCATCATTTTATAAATTGATTTATTCATAAAATATCAATATGCGTATTAAATATTACATAAATAATAAAAATAAATTTAATATATATAATCGTATATAGCTTTCAAATATTTACAATTCAGTTATTACGTTATGCCATAAATATAAGATAAATTATTTTCCTGCAGGAATTCTAACCATTCAAAATCTGTTTTTATAACATATTTAGATTATTAATAAAATAATTTATGATTATTATTAATAACATACATTTTAAATTTCGTATATTGTAATATACATATATACATTTTCAATTATTTTTTACCGATTATTTTATTGTTATAGAGGTTATAGTCCACACTATAACTTAGGATATTCAATAGTTGAAATTCAGCAAATAATAAAATCAATTACTTAATTTCAGTAGATTAATAAAAAGTACCTATATCATCTATGAATAGGTACATATTACGTTTGTCCGAGTCCATAATAACATTATTTTAAATTGGTCTTTTAATTTATATAAAAATTATTAATTAATTAATCATATATAATTAAACAATTAAGTTATTTAATGAGAAACTAAATATTATTAGAGCTATTGTAATATTATGCGAAATATAATACTCCTGATCTTGAGGTATATTTATTTAAGGTAAAATATTTTATGATTTTATGTGTAACAAAATATGTATTTGCCACATTGCAGTATTAGGTATTTACAGAAACGTTTTTTATAATAGCTTAAGCTGGGAATTTTTTTAAAACCCAATAATTATATTTTATTAGTCTACATATATACCATAATCAATAACTTAAGCAATTAATTTAGTTGAATTAGTAATCAATTTAGCAAAATTGAAAATAATATTTTTTTAACGTCAAAGAACAAAATACAGAAACTAAATATCGATTGCTCAGATACTTGGCAGTATATTTTTTTTTTATCCAATTATCTACAAAAAACTAATTTTATACTAGCATAAGCCAAAATTAAGTAAAATTAATAATAATTTTGGTATTTTTTAGCTTGGCAATACTCAAAAGAAATACTTCAAGTATTCATCATTTGAATACTGATTTGAATTATTTTTCGTTTCTATAGTAAATCTAAAGTGAGTAGACTTCTAACTTTATACGTAATTGTAACGCTTTATTGATGTTTATTTACATTATGAAGTTATGACTTAGATAAATTAAAATATAAAACAAGAATTATAACAAGCTATTTAATTTTTTTGGAATATGTTAATGACGAACAAAATTAACGAGTAAAGACGAAAATATGTTTTTAGAAAAAAAATTAATATTTTTGGTTTAAAGGTTTGTCTGTAGTTGCTTTTAAAGTTGAAAAACAGTAATATTTGACCACAATACAATACTAATGTGATGACTAAGTATTTTTTATGTATAATTGAAAAATCAAAGTAAAATAAATAAAACTGTAATTATTTTAATGTATTATATTATTTGTATTTTGTTCTACCATTTTCAAAGTTCAACAAAAATTTCGTAATGCATTTTAAAAATAATTAAAAAAATGCATATAATCTGATCACGTATAATGGATAATAAATTATAACTATAACGTATATTTATGATAGTAAAATGGAATTTATAAATATTGAATAAACTTCAGACGATCTGTTTAAATATATAATATTATTATAAGTATCAATATTATTCAATAAGCTTGTTGTTTAAAAATGACAGGTGTCGTTCCACAAATTCAATTATAAAATCTAATAGAGTATTAAATAATTTAGAACACTATTAGTGCTTATATCACTGACTATAATTTATTTACAATTGTACTGTTTTGAATAAAAAATCAGTATATATACATCAGAAAACTTGATAAAGCCTAAAATCATGTACCAAAGATATGACTACGAAGATAAATGACTGTATATATATAATATGCTATTGGTGTACAAAATCAATGTGTAAAGATGAAGACATGCAATTGGCAAAAGAAAATGCATTTAGTTAAATTAAAATATAAAACAAGAATTATAACAAGCTATTTAATTTTTTTGGAATATGTTAATGACGAACAAAATTAACGATTAACGAGTAAAAACGAAAATATATTTTTAGAAAAAAAAAATTAATATTTTTGGTTTAAAGGTTTGTCTGTAGTTGCTTTTAAAGTTGAAAAACAGTAACATTTGACCACTATGTAATCTTATTGTGAAGACCAAATGTTTTGTTTGTAGAACTAAAAAATCGAAACAAAATAAATAAGACCATAATTATTTTAATATTGTTTACTACCAATACGAAACATGTAATATTATCTACTCAGCACGAGTTGCAAAATTCGATATTACGGGTTTAAAACTTTTTTACTGGACACGTACATGCGCTGCAGTACCGGTGTACCTATCGTCTATCTGCTACGTAATAATGCGCACATGGTGTACACATATAACAGTATCGTACATCCATATGATGTATTGTGTTGTGTGACCGATTGTTGCATTTATAACATAACACATGCTTCCCTCGAAAAATGGTCGTATAAGATGTCATACTCTACCTTGTGTATACTACTTATATTTTTATATATATATTTCATTAACGACCTTGTCAGTAGTATAAAAATTGGGTTTCTATAACGAACGAAAAATAATAACGAATATGAATGCGAGAATAAATCGTTGTAGTAATGCATTTTTATTTTAACGAAAATTAGATGGTAGTGATCATCTGTGTGATCATCTGTAGTGATCATTGGTCTTCAAGTACACAATACAGCAGTTGTAGTGTGTGCTTGAGCTTCTGATGTCGAAACCAAATTTTCACTTTATAGTGGTGGATACATTAGTTCAATATTTATTTTATTGTTTTTGATAAACGCTGTCTTTTTAGCGCAAATACGACTGGCGTGTCTGGAGTTTAAACACTGGAGTAAAAACTATTATGGATAAAAATAAAATAAAAATCTTTACGATGACACTTTAACATGAAAATGTACGGACAAAACTATTTAAAGGTACTTTTAACAGGTTAATTAATGGTACTTTACGAAATGTGTTGATCCATATAAGCATATGATCGATTAATTAGACATTTATGAACACACAGACACACAGTATGAACCTATGATGAGAACGGAATTGGTTTTCGTAATGTGTCGATGTAGATAATCCATGACGTTTTCGTGATTATAGTATGATAATAATACATTAACATCGATTCCGGAAAACAAATAAATTTTTTCGACGGACTTTTGCATTAGGTTGTGTGTGTGCGGCGCACGTGAGCGTGTGTTCACGTTTGACGGCGATTTATCGATTTTGTATTTTTGCGGCGCGGTGGCGTCGGCGACTGCGACGGCGCAATAGTAACCAAGGTCACGGTACACCCGCTGGGGGCCCCGGCTATTTAACCAGAAGTCTGTTATATTTGGACGGACATTGTCGAGTGAACCGCCGTCGCAACGAGACGCACGTACAAAATAAAAATACAATTTTTACGCAGCTCATATACGTAATCCACATCAAACATGTTTAACCTGGGAGGTGGTGAGTACATTTTCACGATATTACAGATACAATGTTTATTCTCAGCCCGAAACCTTCACTGAACTGCGGTCGTACGTACGCTATTGTCGTTATAAAATATTAATGTTTTATTATTTATTTTCCTACGATGGTATGTGTCAAACAATAATAATAATATCATGCATCGACGATCAAACCGCATCCTGTGTGTCCTCGTACATCGATATACGATTAGATTTGCGCGGTTCCCTTTCTCTCACTCTCTTTGTGTTCATCCCACAACACAAATTTTTCATTTTTATACTTGGCTTTGCGAGATGACGTAATCCCGTCGGATCTCGATGCAGCGAACGAAGTTTCACGAACAGGTGTACATCATCTTATCAACCCGATCATCCGAACTCGTGGATTAACTCCCGACGGTCCTTATAAAGTTGCGGGAAATAATTTTATCCTTAAAATCATTTTGTGAACGACACACGTAGTATTTTTAGTCACATTCTTCATGTGTATACCCACATATACGGTCCACGCGCACTCATCAGCGCGCCTACACCGAACACATACTTACACATACTTACTCACACATACGTATACACATATGAGCTTATGTGTACTAAATATATTATTACGTATTCATATTGCACCAAATATTGCGCAAGATAAAATAATTGGCTTCGTGATAGAAACGCTATTTATTAATACTCAAATTTTATGTCACATTTAAGTCGTATATAAATAGACAGAGCGAACGTTCGTAAGACGGAATCATTAAAAGAATGTCTTGTTCTAACCATATACACACAAACCATTTATCATCATCAATCACGACATAGGATAACGCAAACTTATATACAAATTATATTTTACGCCTATAATGTTATTTGCGTCTTCATTTGGCCTTGCTCGTTGGCGCCGCGTTTTACAGGAAATTGACTTTCTGTTCGTTTCGATTTCGCGACCGGAATTTGTGCAATTGCATTTCACCGGCATTTGCAGCAGAAATAATTAAATTTGTTTTAGATGTACACTCAAGCTTAAACCTTTAGGTGCGTTCGTCGTTAAAACGTTTTTAACGATTTTCAACTGAGGATCTGAAATAACGATTTAAAAACCGGTTTCTTGCATAACTTGAGGGCATGTTTTTAAATTTTTTTAGTAGTATTACAGGCCATTTTGTTCTTTGCTGTCAAAATTAATTCTTCCACTCCTCTATTATACGTATAGTTCATGTCTCCATTCTAATCGGGTCTCAGATCCTGCGTATCTCTTTTGGATTATATCTAATCACCGTTGCTTCGGTCTACCTCGTGGTCTTTTCTTGTTCAATTTGTTAACAAGTACCATCTTAATAATAATGCTGTCGCCTCTCCAACCGTGGTCTGCCCACTCCAATCTTGCTCCTTTTACAAAAATTATTATACTTCCCTTTCCATGTAATTGTTGCACATCTTTGCTTGACTTCTCTCCCACATTTGGGTATCAGGGTTGAAAACAGGACCGTACATTTTCCTTATTATCTTTCTTTCAAAAATATTTAGTTTATTTTCATCTCCTGTCGTTGTTATTCAAGTCGTTGTTATAACTTGTGAAAGGCAAGCTAGTCCAAGATACGTGGTATACAATGTCCACATTGAATTAACCAAAAGAGGCAACAGCACATCACTCTGCTTTAATCCTTTAACAACTTCAAAAAATTATGATAATTCTTCTTGTACCTGGACAACACAATTATAATAACTGTTGCGTAATTTTATTAATTAAATTATTTTAGTTGAACCTAATAGTTATACCTAATTTAATCAAATTTTTCCATAATTTGTTTCGGATTATATTATCATACGCTTACTTGATATCTACAAATACTAAATAAATATTCTTATTGTTTACTAAGAATTTGCCATAGTGTAAATATATTGTCTATCGTTGACTTACCCTTCCTAAAGCCACATTGATATTCACCAATGACTCGTTCCAATGTATCTTATATTCATTTTAGAAGAAACAGTGACAGAATCTTATACCCCACATCTTGAGGGCATATACATTATAATAATAGTACATTGTGAGTTGGGTAATGCACAGATAGACAATACGAAGCCATCCAGTTTAATTATTTTCTCGTACTCATCGACAATCGTTAATACACTGCGAAACAGACTATGAACTCATCGTACAACAAACTTTTGAGGATGATATAAAAATCTGAAAAATAAAACATTTTGAAAACAAAATGCAACGAATGAGATATATAGCTGGATAACATTTAATCCTATGTATGTTTATGCAAGTTCAATAATTTGCAACGGTAAAACGAATTACTGCTTGCATGTATAGACGATTGGATATTATTAGTATTTTTAAATTATCTCTTCGGTTTTCGAACATATATTCATTTAATTTACATCAACGAATGCATCAAGTGCATATTATATACTATTAAAAATGTATTATTTTCTTCGTTATATAGTCGATTATCACGGTTGGGTAGAATATCAATATCATATGCACGGTGAAACATAATATTCCTAAAAGAATTTCGTCGAGCAGGTATACGATTTCTTCACATAACTGCAAAACAAGAGAGATCATTAAAAATATTCTGTTGTTAACACATATTAATAATCAGCATTTTAGCAAAATATTGAAATAATTAATTTTTATATTTTTTTAGCCATGAAAAATATCACCGCAAAAGCCGAAGAATTGGTAGAGGAGAAAAAACACGCTGCAACTTCACTTCTGGAAAAACAAGTATGTTAATATGAAATTATATGCTAATAATACATTATAGATTATTTTTGTCTAAAAATACGATTGTTATGCCTAAATTATACAAAATTTTAAATTACAACATGCATTTACATTGTGGATTTTTCTCATTTTGTATATTTAATGTTCTATTGATTATAAACATAAACATATTCATACAAAATAGTTAATCGATATAGTATGATTAATATGATTGATCAACACTAAGACTTTTTTATAAAATTATTATTGATACTTTGATAATAATATATTTTTATGTATCATTTAAACTAATTTTTATTTTAACAATTGTATTGGTACTAATTCGTAAGTCGTTTGTTATTTCAACAGTTTAATTACATTTTTTAACAAAATACATTCCATGATATTTAGGTCTTTACTTCATATACCAATACAATTATAATCACGTCTTAAGTCGCAATATTTTTCATAATTCGTTTTCAAGTTATAAAATTATTTATTAATAATTAGTAATTTATTTATGAAATAAACATTACCTTTAAGTTTAAGTAATTAAATCATTTAAAGGGATTGCAAGCCATGATTTTCTTTTTCTTTCTATTACACGCACAATATAGGAATTTTGACTTTTTCTATTTCCAACGTACCGATCGATTTATTGATGCAATAAAGATTTTAAAAACTTATTTAAATTCGTCTTAAATTCTTATTTAAATCGACTTTCCCACATTTTTGATTTTTTCTCCCAAAATTTCACAAAATATGATTAAATAAATTGGAAACATAAAAATTAACAAAAATTAATTTTTGAGTATGGTAAGTACAAAATTTAAATGTGAGAGACTCAATTTAAAGAAGACTTTACCAACGAATTCAAATCAATTTTCAAAATTTTTATCACCTTAACAGATTAATCGGTACGTTGGAAATAAAAAACGTCCAAATTCCTGTATTGCGCATGCGAAAGAAAGAGAAAGAAAATCATGGCTTGAAATCCCCATAAAAGTAAAAGAAATATTTTATTTGCATTTTATGTAAATCTATTACCATCTATATAATATATTTTATATTGTGGCCTTATAAATTGTACTAATGATAATTATCACCATAAATAATACCAATTGTGCAAACAAAAAAATAGCGAGAAAAATTAAAATGAGCAAATGATACAATACTAAAAGTGAGGCGTAAATATCTATTTAATTCAAATTCGTGTTTACATTTGCATAACAAAGATGTTGTAAGATCACATGTTAAACCTAAAAAAAAAATTTACATTTTTATGGGTTATGCTTCATTGCTACAGATATTTTTTCGATTATTTTCGAAAATAATTTTTATACGTATGTATACTATATATTTGTATATTAACAAATAACATAAATATTATTTTTTAGTACTAATATCCGTCGTTTTTGATCATTTATATCTTCATGTTATTTGATATAATATATGATATATGATATACATATTATGTATAAATTTATTTATCAAAGTTTAAACTTCATTAATCATATTCAAGTTCTTAAAATAATTCAGGTTATTGCATATTTCATACAATTCATTTTGTGTATATCCGATACCATGGATTCATTGCACGATTAAAATAACAAATTTCATCCTGTCATATTATTGAATTTTTGAAAAAAAAATTTTTTTTTTGTTCTAATATGTAAAAAAGTACTAATAAAAGTTATAGGTTTATGTTAATCACGAACATGAAATTCAAATAAAATATAAACAAACCGTTAAAAAACCAAAAATACAATAAGTTTTGTTTATAGCTAAACAAAAAAAAAAAATTCTATAAACACTATTTGGTTAAAAGCTTTTTATAGAAAATTTTAAGCTATTTTTAAATATAAACATGTTTATTTTATAAGTTATCTTAGTATTTTGAATTTATAGATCTATAATCGTAAAAACGATATATTTCGTTCGTGACTTAGACTTCAGTTAATACAGTTGTTTATCAAATTGGATAGTTTCACTTTCTAAATAAACATTTCTTTAATAATTTTAAGTCATGTGGGTGGACCTAATACATAATACATTTATACAGAAAAACATTTTCTAAGTTATGGAGATTATTAATTATTATGTATAATTAAACAGGAAAACACCATAACATTCAAGTATTACTTTTCAGTAAAATTATTATATAATTTATATAATTTAACTGAAGTTTTATAAGCATACATAGATCAGGTTCTCTTAATTTGTTTCGACTTTTAACCGTAATTGTTTGTATAATATAAATAAAAGTGTGAAATTCATAAATTATTTAAAGTACAAAAAAAAAATCAAGTTGAGCAATACAAATTATAATGTAAATACCCATTGATAAAAATATTCTCTTTTCTTATAATAATATTTGTGGATAAAATTGTTCCTTATATTTATCAACAATTTTCATTAATATATGTTTTTAAAAATGTACATTATTCATTATAATATAGGAAACTAAAATTACTATCTCATTTCATTGTAATCTATACATTATTACATCCTTTATTAATAATATTTTTAACTGCAAAGTATGCAATATGCAAATATGCAAATATTGCTGATATGCAATTAAACTTAAAATATAAATTATATGATCATATATCATGTGCATTTGCACTAACTATAAAATTCTCAGGTCAAAGAAACCGGTGAGTTCTTAGCTAATACAATCAGCGAAACAGAAGGAAAAGCTGCAAGTGCCGTAGACGAAGCAAAAAAAGCAGCTGTGGACGGTTTTGATCAGGAAGTTGAGAAACTCGGTGATAGTGTCTTAAATGAGGTATAAAACGGGGCTTATAATACTGTTGGCTGACATTTTGTAAAAGCTTACGGCGGAATCAACTTTCTTCATTTCACTTGGAGCTAAAATACAATTCACGCATATTATTTTGAATGATGCATGTTTATTTTAATTTGAACATTTTATACTTGTATGTTAAAATTAATGGTTAAAATTATTATTTACCATAGCTTTTTCTGTAATTATTATGATTTGTTTGTAGAATTCTAAAATTGCTAATGGTGGTGGTTTATTAGGTGGAATTAAAAATCCATTTGGTCATATTGCTAGCCATATAGAGGTCAGTATATAATATGGAAAAAATTTAAAAACATTGTATTCGAGTTTTTACGAAGAGACCGAATAAATATGCACATTTAAGTATATTTATAATTAACTTTTAAACTTTCCATAAGAAAAAAAATATTTATAATTTTACTAACCGTAAATGTTATTAAGAAGGTTTAATTAGTGATTAATAGTTTAATGATTAGGTACCTATAATATTGTATTTGTTATGTCTTACAAGTATATATATTTAAATAATAAAATTCCTATGTTTAGAGAAAATGAGTGGGTTTTTACTCAACTATAATGAAAAATACTACGAAATAGTTAATAGTTAAAATAGTTGAAAATAGTTCATTCACTTATGAATATAAACAAAAAATTATTTATCCATATGCTAATTTTAGTTGTTATCGAATATGCATTTATACTTATTGATAAACTGTAGTACTCATCCAAAGTATTATTTTGAAAAAGTTTTTTACTTTTTTTACGGTTTAATCATTAACGAAAATAAACCTAAAATATACATTTATACTGTTATAGTCTGGTGGTAGTCCAGCGGGCCTTGATTTGGGTTCACTGATTGGAGACACGGTTAGGAGCATAACCACCCCAAAATCCGTAAGCAACAGTCGTGTTTGTTGTGTATACTTGTTATTAATATGTTCGTCGGTTTCTTAATGTACAAAACTCGCATATAATTGTATAATGCCCTTGCTTGTGTGCATGTGTGTTTAATTTCGTGTATTTTAGCAAACCGTTGAGGGATCGGTCAGTAAAGTTCAAGGAATAACCGGTGGAATGGCCAATACAGTACACGGAGTAGCCGGCGGAATGGCCAGTACGGCGAAGGGAGTAGCCGGGGGAATGGCTAGTACGGCGCAGGGTGTAGCCGGCGGAATGGTCAATACGGCGCAGGGTGTAGCTGGTGGAATGGCCAATACAGTACACGGAGTAGCCGGTGGAATGGCCAGTTCGGCAAAAGGAGTAGTCGGGATAATGGCTAGTACCACGCAGGGTGTAGCCGGTGGAATGGCCAGTTCGGCAAAAGGAGTAGTCGGGATAATGGCTAGTACCACGCAGGGTGTAGCCGGTGGAATGGTCAATACGGCACAGGGAGTAGCCGGGGGAATGATCAACACTACACGGGGAGTAGCTAGGGGAATGATCAGTGCAACACAAGAAGTGGCTGGTGGAATGATCAATAAAGTACAGGGAGTAACTGGGGGAATGATCAATAAAGTTCAGGGATTAGCTGGAGGAATAATTGGTGGAGTGACCAACATAATTGGTGAAAGTTTGGCTGCTTCAAAGTTGATGGCAATTATAATGACCACTGCTGTACCTGTTGCGACAAATGTTGTTAACAAGTCAAAGGTCATCACGGGAATTGTATTTGAAAAAATAATGCCCAAGGTATGACACATTAACGATTAACTATCCCCCACCAAAACACACATTTGACTACAACCAGTACATGTAGGTGCGCCATTCTAGGATTTTAAATACCGCAGTATCGATATCGAAGTTATACTTAATTTTAATTTTAACATTAAATAATAATATGTGTCATGTTCTTAAATCAAATGATTCTTTAATTATCTTCAATTGACTTTTGGATATTTACCGAACTTGTTACGACTTAATATCAATTAGACCTTGTTATAAGGTTAATGTAGGTTGCAGTATACTTTATTTCATAAGATCGTTTACTACGTTTTAAAATTCCTTAAAATATATAACGAAATACGATGTATTTCTCTTCCATTAACGGATACTTAACTTTTAATTTTGAAATAGTTTTTATTATTATAAATATTTTAACTGTGTTAAATATAACAGCCAAAATTTAGTAAGATATCGTGTTTGGCAATAATATTAGCATGAATAAATGTATTCCCATATTGAATTATATTTATTTTTTTTAAAATGTTAAATGGTGACAAATATTTCTTGTAAATCTCAATCTTTAACAGTGCACTTTATAATCGTTCAAATAAATACGAATTTTTGTATTTCGTGATTTCGTAAAAACATCGTATTAACTAAATAATAATATGTAAACGATTTTGACATACGAATAAAAATTCTATAAACTTGGGCTTACTACATACAGTTATTTTAAAATTAAAAAAATCACAGTCGTTGAAATTTATTTTTATTTTTGAGTACAAATTAAGTTTATTTATAGTAAACTTTTTACAATTCTACAATGAATTGAAACTCTTCGAATGACTTATACTTAATTTTACATTAAGAAATGTTTTCCTTACGTATAATTGAATAACACCTATTCTATACTTCTGTGAAGATTATGAAGTGATTTGGAGTAATGTTGATTTTGGTTGAAATAAGATAAAGCAAATTTGTAAGTAGTAGTATTTCAATAGTATTACAACAAATCAAAAACACTTACACACTAAAACATTTGCACTCTATAATTCCTGAATAACATGCTTTGTAGATTGATTGACTAACTTTTTGTTGTTTTTTAGTTAGTTGATCGGAAATCTAATTGTGTTATACAATAAACGCATTAACACGGTATGGATTTGAAATCAATATTGGTTGAATCTATAATATGTAACAAAACTGACAGAAAATATATTGGAAATGTAAAATGTATTATTTTTTTTTATTTCCTGTATATAATTTTTATGTTCTACGACTTTAATGCTAACAATATTATTAAGATGAGTTTATATTTATGTACATATTTAATGCCAGAGTTTTATAGGCCGTATGAATGGTTTTTCCTTCTTTTTTTTGTTTGTTATGATATACTAATGCTATGTGTATTTAAATAAATGAACGTTTATATTATAAATCAAATAAAGTAGTTTTAAATACCTATAGACATAAAGCATCATCGCAATTTAATTTTTAATCTAATATGAAATAACATACGTTGTTAAATTTAATGAATTTAATTAAATTTTAAATTCCAATCAGTTATCTATATTTCTTTAATTAATTTACCGATAGTCTTTTTTAGACAAACTATATCAAGACTGTCAAAGATTTACTATTTAAATTACCTTTGATATTTATTATATTTTTTACGCCTCACTAATTTCATACGATTACACTGCTAATGGAAAACTTCTTAAATGCACACCTTAGCAGAAATAGATTATACCAACCATATTCGTTCAAAATAATTTGTAATTCACGTTCTCAACCCTTTCTGATTTTAATATACATTATTTGCATTTTCCATTTGACACGATACGTACCCGAATAGTCATATATTTTAAAAATACGCTTGCAAAAAGTGGTTAGTACATTTATCATGATTATATAATAATATATGTACACATCTTGTATGGTGTTGTTGTTCACTGTAGCAGTAGTTAGATTACGCTACCTTTTCTTTAAATTGCCTGAAATTTTTCGTTTTAAACAATGCAATCGTGACGTACGATCGAAACGGAATGTGGGTTAGATATAAAACTATAATGCTATATCATTACCTACAGTATTTTATTTTTTTTTTGTTCTACCCATTATTTCCCGGCTGTCCAAGGTTACGCAGTGGTTCGTTCAAATGACCACCGAATCGCGTGATGTTCTACACGAAACCAACATTTTGCTGGAACTTTCTTTATCGGTGTTGTTTAATAATTTACATGGCCGGACAATATACCGACATTATTATAATACGTAAACACAAACATTAAATTTCAAAGATCAAAAAAATAGCACAATATATATTGATATTCTTGATATATGGTATTTAATTTAAGACATTTAAAATTTCTATCGATCATATAATTTAGTGCAAACTCCGTGGTTTTATAGTTTTTTTACAGCCCAACAAATACACATGCGCAAAATAAAATCATCATAGTAATATTAACAACGATAATAAAGTAATTTTTACCTCATTATCCAATCTTTGGTGAAAATAAAATCTATCGTGTTAATTACCTATTTAATTTGTTATGTGTACAAGAAAAATAATTTTTTATTACTAGTTTCTTCTTTATTCTGATTACTTTTAATGTATCGCTAAAAAATTATAAAAATACGACCTTTTGGTTTTCATTAAAACATATAAGACCTTTAAATTATATTTATATGGCCTTTAATACAAGTCATAAATAAAAATAATCAATAGTTAATTTTATTAATTAATACGAGTAGAGAACCTTCAGTTTAGATGATAGCAATATTAGTAAAAAACATTAAAGTTGGGAAATTAAAATATGTAATGAATAATAATGAACGTTACAAATCATAGATTCATACTGGTTAATAATTCACTTGCATGATCAGTGTTGCATGCAAATGGTATTAGGTAAATTTGAGTATCATTGTCAAATATAATAGCGCGAGTGACACTTCAACACATATATGTACTATTATGAGTAAATACAATGAAAAATCACTCGATTATTTCAAATATCTATGTATATTATTTTTTTTTCACAAACAAGGTCTTATGGGAATTAATTTGGAGTTAAAATAAGTGTTATATGATTGTAACTACTAAACTATAGAGAAAAAAACTATTTAACTTTGTAGAAAGTATATACTACATGAGATAATCGAGTGGTATACACCGAATATCTGCATAAACCTGTAATAACGCCTCAGATTAGTTTCGCGATTGCGAGTTAGTTCCTAAACGAAATTCTATAGTTGATTCCTCAAAGGATTGCGGGTAAACGGAAATAATATTTTCAACGTACAAGTTACTGAGTTTTGGAACTACAGCTGTTTTCGATCGTGTACCGCACGTTGCATGTAAAATACTTATACCAAACCTTCCCTACCTCGATATCGTCACTATGACAATATACGTATGCGAACGCGTGTCACATACGTAAATACTCTTCACGGATGTCTTTTCGAGTACGTTTACCGATTGAGGATTTTTTCGAAAATATTTCCTGCATCGGAGAAAATCCCTAAATCATAAACGTAACTAGTGACAAGGAAACTGGAAAATGTAAGTGCTAGGCATAAATTGTATCCATCATTACCCACAAGCCGTAGTATTATAAACACGTGCAGATCTTCGGTGTATATTATTGTAATTTGGCATGTTTTGGTGATATAACTTATAGCAACCGGATTGCTAGAATAATAGGCTAAAACATAGCCAGTTGCAGGTTACCTACACGCAAAAAATGTTAGTGTTCAGTATTGGGATTATAAAATGACTCAATTACTAAAACTAATTGCTAATTATAAAAGAAATAAAATTATTTTCATATTTATACTAATAGTCCTCATCAATGGGGTTATCAGAAACCTATTGTTGGGCGCAATTAACACCATTTTTAAATGGTTTTTAGTCGTGCATTTGGTTGTCGAACGATTCCAGTAAACAATAGATTGCCCCAAAACAGATTTTGTTATTTACTAATACGGCAAACAGGTTGAAACAGTTATATTACCAAAACACGCTTATTATCGTTACGCACGTGCCCGTTCAAACGGGATGCACCGATGCATGTACACCGTATATCGTACACCACGGTGATGGACAAAATTCAAATTTTCCGAAGTTTGAAACTCCGAATTCTGGATTGTAAAATACGAATTTTTCTCCAACTTCGAATTTTGAAACTTATGATTTAATCATAAAACAGTTATAATAACTATAATAAGTATAATAAATATATACGATTCAAAAATTAGTCGCATGAAAGTTGTATTTTAAATCATTTGATACAACCGACAAAATATCAAAACTGTTACAACATGTAGGTTAAACATTTCATATCTGACCAAGTAAACAATTCGTATTTCAAAATCCATAATTCCAGTCTCGGATTTCGTAACCAGAAATCCAAAATCCGGATATTTTGAGTTTTCGGAGAATCAGAATTTATGTCACATCGTTAGTCCGCGATAGTGTAAACGCGTGTATATGTGCGTGGTGTGCGCGTGTGTACGAATGCTTGTGTGTGCATGCGTGCACATGTAGTGATAAATTGTTGGGACGAACAGGCAACGGCGGACGCACCAGCAGCGCCGGTAACCCCCGCGGCACCGGAACAGCAGACGACTGTGAACCAAGTGGCATCCGAGGCCAAGACGCTGGTGGACAAAACGGCGTCCGAGCTGAAACCGGCCCTGGACCAGGTAGTGCACGACAAGATCAACCCGATCGCGCAGGACCTGGCCAAAAAGTTGCAGCCAATCGCCGGTGACGTATCGGCCCAGGTGAACACGGCGCTGGCCGAGGGCGTGAAACAGCTGAACCCGATCGTCGACGACGTGTCGTCCAAGGCCAAGGGCTTCGTCGACGACGCCGCTAAACAGGTACGGTTCTTGGGCGCGCGTGTGTGACGGACCGAGGGTGGACAGGGGTCGGACGAGGCCTAAATGTGATGATCATCATTTGTTTCGTTTTTTTTTTTTCTATTTTATTTACATAGATGTTTATGTATATTTCAAAAACATTTATGTATTTTTACATTGTAAACAATCAACGTTTGTACGACGTGCCGTAGAAGGTATAGAAAATTTCGCGCTTGGATTGTGTAGTATACGGGGTGAAACGCACGTCGTTACGCGCACAGATACACGCACGTGTTCTATACACGTACTATGATTATACGTCTGTAAAGGATAACGCTGTGCGTACACGACGACTGCATTCAATGTACAGGCCCGAGGTGAGACTTTGATACGCATTTATGTGCATACCGTTAGTTGGTGAAATAGAGTGTATTTGCGCGCGCACGGTTTACATTTTTGGTTTTTCTATCATATCACATGAACGCATAATATGTATATTTTTATATAATTTTTTTTTTTTTAAGTGTATGTATATATATTATGTACACATCACTCGTGTTCAGTAGTTTGTCACGTAGCTTTGTGTTTTGTACATAGTAGTATATGCATATCATTAGACCACAGTTATGTACATGACATGTATATTGTATATAGACACATATGTTTACGTATGTTCATCATATAAATTACTCGTAGTACTCCTATCGTGGAGACTTGGTTGATTTCCGCCCTTTTCGCGTGTATTATCATCTTTATAGTCACGTTTTATATTGATTTACTATTATTTTTATTATTATAATTCAAATTGTTTTTATTTTTCCGCAATCGTTGTAGGTGAGCACCGCCGTTGACGATAAGATGAAGGAGGCGGATCAACTCTTATCCGAAAAACGTGAAGCTCTCGGAGAACCGGCCAAGAGCATGTTGTCCAAGGCCAAGGGACTGTTCGGCTGTAAGTTAGGTTGCTGTACTATCATGTAGGAAAAAAATTCACACAAACCCCGTTTACACCCACTGTTGAAATACTGCCAGTAAGGATAATCTTTTTCGGTTGAAAGTTTGTTTTAGATTTGATTTTTTTTATGTGATGAAACCGATTGCGGGTGCGTCTTACGCATAAAACGCATGCCATGCGTGGATTTTATGGTGGCAGTAGTTGTGTTGAATCTAAAAACCATAATATTAATATAATAATGAACCCGACGTTTTTGAATGTCTAATATACAGTTTTCAATATTTGAGTAACTACTTAATGTGCAACATATTATGAACTTACAACACACCACACAGTAGTAGATAAAAAATTCGATGATAATGATAATTTAACATCATGCCACAGATAATCTTTCAATCGATCATCCGACAAATATTCTCATTTTTACTAAAATTGTCAGCTACACTATTTGTCAAAATCTTACATTGAACACAAGACTGAAAAAAAAATTATAATATTTTCATAATTTCATCTAAAAATGTTTTTATCATAGTCTATTCGACTTTAAATACTTATTGGGATTTGAATAATGAATAAGTGGAGTTATGATTATAACCCAATTATTCAGTTCACAATAAATCAATGGTTGCGTAATATAAAGCAACCTCTGATTCACATATTGCGGAAATCGTTAAGTTGATTTTTATTAAATCATTATTGACGAACAACAATGTGTACCGTTAAAATACGGTCGAAAAAAACTGCAACATATGCATTTGTGCAAAATTTCATTTATTTACTAAATTATTCGTATTAACATTCATTTCACGCATACATTGTTATGATGGATCACTGTCTACTAGAACTATGTGCATATATACTCGTATATATATATAGAGTGAATTGAAACACGTGTTATTAAAATAGTAGCCATTACAGTACACAAATTTTATGTAGTCACCGTCATTTTTACAATATGGGTTTCTTATCACTTTATATATACATGAATATATGTATAGTAAACAGTTATTACAATTTTTTTTTTAATATATATTATAATAATGCATAATAGCGCATAATGCGCAGCCATTCCGGTATTGCATCCATTAATCAATCGCCTATAACACAATAATTAACATTCACATAATAATTCATTTCAATCAATATTTTTAAAAACAGTGGTCAGTCAAAGCAGTTTAAATTGACCCTAAAAACTTATCTCGTTTGCATATAATTTCATATCGAGTTTATAAGTACGATTCTGTACTACTGATACATTGGAACGCCAATACTAACTGCACTAATCAATTTTATCTTTGGTTTTTTTTTTCAGAAATTCATCGACTACTAATTACTACATATATATAAACATGCGTAGTGGGAGTATAGCAAGTTAATTAAAACTGTTATAGTGCTAACCGCTACAAAAATTCTATTTAACTCTTATACATAATATTATACCTATATCAAACATATTCCACCCATTTAAACGCGTTATTTTAAGTGATACACGTTGTATTTTTTTTTGTTTAAATTATTATTTGTTCCTCGGAAATTGTAGTCATGCACATTTTTGATTATCCTAATAAATTATTTTATTATTTATATATATATATATATATATATAAATGGCTTATCTTTATGTATTATAATATATGAAAATTTAACTATCTTTCATATATATTTATATAATTATTCTCACAATGTAATTAATTATTTACTACCATGAAAAATTAAAATTACTATTTTTTAGTTACCAGTTTGTGGTGAAAAAATATGTTATATCAATAACTATAATTTAAGTAACAATACTACGTTTTTATACTATACGTATTCACTCACAGATATTTTTTGTAATATTTTTATTTACTTAATATACGATTAACACAGCTTGCTATTTTTTACATGAAACATGTTGGTTTTTATTTCTTTTAGAAAATTATAATCATATTAACTTATTAAAATGTACTCATGGTGCTCTTGACTCTTATTTATACATGTACATGCGTATGTTGTGGTAATGGTTTAATGTAGTTAGACATTTATTTTGGTGTTATGCGATATAATACATTACATCATACTATGATCTATAAAACAACGATTTTATTGCTTTTATTTTTTTAGTTCGATGAAAAATTGAGAATCCACCACCATAGATGACAAATAAAACGGGGTCTCTGTGTTAACAACAATACATTTTCTTTAATAACAATACTTTTACATATATTATACTCATTAAAAGAAATTCTAACTGTCTTGTTCTTTTAATATTTATAATTAAAATGTGAATATTTTAAATTCAACGGAATAAATAAACCCAATTGTGAGTTTGTAATTTTTTTTAAAATAATGAGTTAAATTACAAATGTTTGTACCAAAAAACAAATAAAGTTCAATATTTTGGGGATTCGCAATTATATAGTATTATTTGTTTATACCCAAATATATATATATATATATATTATGATGCCACTAAAAATTCAACTGTAATATAATTAACATGACTACCCATAGTATTTTTACATATGTTGTCTTAAGTATATTTATACAAATTTGAGAAATTTAAAATATTTTTTTAAGGTAACTCAATAAGTGTTAATATTTACATAACTATTATTCGATTTATTAAATTAAATTATGAACAAAAGTTTATTTGTTTGGATTTGGTAATATTTGACGATGATTTTTTCGACTATTTGCAAAAATTATTACTTTTGGTCTTCATATTTGGCCAGTACAGAATTAAAACTTTGTACAAGTGTAATAAATGTAATTCCACGCTCTGCAATATTATTGACTACTTTAAACTTCATGACTCTTCTTTTTAATTTATGTTCTTAGTCTTTTTTCATGTACTTGGATGATTTTTCGAAAATGTATAAGATAAATTAAATGCTTCAAAATATTTTTTGTAATTATTTGCAAAAACATTTGATAGTTGCATGTTGTGTATTCTTTGTTCATTCAACTTGAATGCTTTAGAGGTTCTTCATCTCTTTTTAACAAAGATAAAACCATTAATCCTTTTTCTTCAATTCTCAGTTACTTGATTTTCGAAAAATGCTATTCTATGTTTCACTGAGGTTCCAAAATTCTCTAGATAAAGTTTTAATTACTACTTCAGAAAAATTTTTATTGATATTTTTATATTCTATTAGTTCTTTAATAAAATTGAAATCATTTTTCAGAGCTGACGTGGTAGATTGATCAATGAACCACATACATATACATACATATACGCTAAGAACGAAAACGTTAAAGTGACATAAGCTATTTTTTTCACTTGATGTTAAGTGAAACTGAGAACAAAAAATGTACGTTTTCTGGCAATAAATTAATTTAGTCATTCATTTAGCTCTGTTATACGCTCCCGGAATCATAATATTATTATTTTTCTGTGGAATAAATTACAAAAAAAGAAGTGACAGTTGAATTAATTCCTTATAATCATTTCTTGGTTGAAACTCGTTTAATTATTCACATAATGACGAAATCAAATTATTTTTTGTGGAGGTAAAATTTAATTAATATATGAATTTGTAATTCCACTTTCAGATTTAGTTTTATCAATTTTCGTTCAAGAATTAGAAAATCTTTGAAATAATAAAATATTAAGTCCACTTAAAGTACCCATTAAAATGTTAGGTATATATGTTCTCAACAATAAGTTCCATAATATGGTGTCTGCACGCTGAGTTCAATATATTTTTACCGGGATTTCTTTTGATATTTTTTCACGTTGTAGGAGACGTTGTTTTCGAATTGACTATTTATTTATAGCAAATTGTCGAAGATCTATTCCTAATAATAATGCTGTTGAAGCTAAAACATATGTAGCATTTCTATCAATTAAGTTCTATTTAATGCACAAGCCAGTTTGGCGGATAAAATATTTTTAGGTCTAGTATTGAATTCTTTTTTTTTATGGTCATTTTCTATTTATTATCCATCAAATGTATAACTTATTTCAGTGTTACATAAATTTAGTTTTTTTTACACAATTTAAGTTAGACCTTTCAACTTCTTTTCTTTTCCAACCATATTCTTTTTCTTTTCTAAGTTCTATACGTTTTTCTATCATACTCAATTTTCTGTCAACTGAAACCATACTACCTCGCGACGCAGACCCGTGCGGCAGTCGTTACCAAAACGGCCGTCACCGAGTGTGCCGCGCCTCTCATCTACCTTTTTGTCTTTGAGCCATTAATAATTATTCTTTTTCTTTTCAATTTATTTTATCCTTTTTCTTCTAAAATCGTGATAACATCTAAAGCGTTAGCATGAACAATGTCAAAAATGTAATCTAAAGATTTTATAAACTCATTTTCTTTCTTTTTTTGGTTATCGATTTGTCGTTTGTATTTTCTTTAATGATAACCAAGTACAATAAATACTTTTTATTTTAGTTATATAACAATCTAATTTTGCATTATTTTATATTGTTTTATTTTCTTCTGTATGCAAAAAATAAGTCTTACCAACATCTGTCGATTTTATGGTAATTTACTACCCATTAAACTTTTTAGTAGACGTCCAACTAAATATATACCACCACGACTTTTAGCTGTAATGTTCATGTAATTTAAAGTGGTTATATTTGAATAATTATATTATATTATTTATGAAAACAAAAAATACTTACTAACAAATCTGTTAACCATAAAAGATATTCGTAGTTTTGTATGTTTTTTTGTTTTTGTAAGTATAAAAATATAAACAAGAATTACGTTTAACGCACGTAGGTACTGTACGATAAATTTCAATAATATTGGCAATATGGTTACATTTTCAAGATATGATTATTATCAATTTATTATATAATAAAGTATTATGAGGGTTATACTGATAGTTTAACATTTTATTATTGTGGTTATACAATGAGTTATATTATTAGTATGCACAGCCAACATTATAAAATACAATGGGTACCCACCAACTTTGATGACTTTGAGCAACTAATAAAAATTATTAGATAGAAATTAAATTTGCTATGCTTATTCCTTTTATCAAAAGAAAAAAATGTATTGGGTGGCATTATAATTAATGATGTTTATATTTTTGTTTATCCAGGGGCGGCTCCAGAGCCTTGGTTAGGGGGGAGAAGAAAGTTATAATTTTACAAAATCTTATAACAAAAAGAAAACAACCATTTTCACAACACAAATTCAAGTCGTCTATTTTTAAAATTAGCAAAAATATCAATAATATGATTTATTTTATCTAGAATATCTACTTTATGATATACATTAATTAGACATAATGCTGATAGTCTGATAATAATGTCTGTCTGATAATCTTCAGTCATCATTGAACGAAGCCAGGTTTTTAGTCTCTGAAGTGTGGAAAAACTTTCAACCGTCATACCTCTATGGTTCTATCTACATACTTGTGCGTGTCGTATGACAATACTTATTATAATATGAATTTTTTGTTAACAATATAAATTTTTTTTATAAATACGGTACGGGCTTGAGAGGGGGCTACGGCCCCTAGGGCCTCCCATGGAGCCTCCCCTGTGTGTATCTATAGCGGATCGGCACCAATAATTAATTATTATAATAATAATTCTAATAAATAATTATCAACTTTATACAAAGAGTAAACGAGGCAAAATATATTGGTATTGTGTTTGTAATTTATTTTTTATAAACATACATTTCATGAATATATAGTGTTCTGTGTTTTCAATAGGAGTGCTGTGAAAGTTCTTTTTTTTTATCATTTTAGTCTACCAAACGTTATTTTATTAGTAACATAAATATTATGTAGGGGAGATTTTCAAATCCTTCTGTTTGTACAATTTAAAAAGTACTTTAACAATTATTTTTTCACATTTCACTCGTTAATATGACATTAATCGGTAAGCTAAGCCCATCCTGCTTATGCCCCCGCGTCTAGATGCTATTTATCGTGAATATATAATAGGATAAAAACATTATTTAAATAACATATGATAGAACATTGTAAAGTAACGATGTAATTCATACGAGTGTTAAACTACTTAACATATTGGAGCAACAATATGGGTAGGTCGATAAAAGAGTTGTTGAATTCAAAATACAATTTGAATGAACTATATGTGTGTATAGGGGTTCTTCAATAGTAATTTTACGTAATCAATTACCATAAATGTTGTATGATGTAATATTCAACGCGTTACTACAATGTTATACTGCAGTGCGGCTAGCGCCTATTAATCGTATCATAGTAAGTTTGTAAGATGTACTCAAATTTTATTATACAATATTAATACAGATATATAATAACTTTAGTTAAATTATTACTAAAGCGTTCGTTGAAGGAAGAATAGTGAATGAATATTATTTTATACAAATAAAGCCGAAATATGCTGACTGTTGTAAGCTCACAATTATATAAACAAAGGTCATTTAAATTTTAATAATCATTTTTCGGTTTCCATCGGTTATTATTTCTAGCTAAAATATGTTTACAGAAAACCAACAAAAATACTTTTTAAAGTAATTTTATAAAAAAAACACTTATTAAACAATTAATGAAAAATATCATTTTTAAGTGAATCTCATACGCGTTTTAGAACATATTTAATGGAATAAAAGCTACAATGGTTTAAAAAAAGTTAAAAAATGCTTTATTGTATTTATCATGGTAAATTATTAATTTGTAATAATGAAAACCCTTATGAGGTTCACTCTGAAATATTATTTGAAATATATTAAAAAAATATAGTCAGCGAGTAATAATAATTGTCTCTCTGCACTTTCCGTGTGACTAAGCGCTCCGTTAACTGACAAATATAAGTTAGATATAATTAAAATTTATTACTTAATTCGATTATTTAAAATTAATATTAATAAAGGTTAATTGAAGTACAAATACTTACTATTGTTTTCGATACTTTTATTACCTTAAACTATCAACTTATCGAAAGTTACACGCTATACTTGTATTATAATATTACATTTTTATTTTTAAAATACGTTTATTATTAATCGTTATCTTTTACTTATAAAATTATCGATTAGTTATGGTATATTATCAGTCTAAATCGAATTTATACTATATATTTTTATATACCAGAAATTAAATTGAATGTTAAGTAGAAAACTTTCAACACTTCTTTTTTTAGTGATATCAAATTTCGAATTATACAGGAATATTGGATCATTTAACTTAATTTGTATTTATGTATTCTACCTAAGTTGAGTTGAATAAATTATTATTATTATTATTATTATTATATTATAGTTTCAAAATACTACAGGAATAATATGCCAGTATATTGAAATATTCATGAAAATTCACACCGATGAATCATAAATTATATACCATTATATTTATAAGTACTTCGCAATTAATATTTGTCACCACTCGAAGTAAGTACAAGTTACCTTGAACAATAATAAAAGTTTATTTTGTTTAGGATAAGAGGGTTTTATTTCATAATAATCTACAGTTTGATCACGATTCAAGGTAACACTATATACTTAATAATTTTTTTTCTCGGAAATCGTCAAACGAAAACCAAAAGACAAACAGAATCATTTTCGTTCCCGATCGATCACCGCCATGTGTTTCAGCAGATCCAATACTCTAGTTGAGTAGCCTATTTCGTTGTCGTACCACACGCCGATCGCAACCATTTTACCCATCACTTCAATTTGATTGAGGTCTACAATGGCCGAGAACGTACTCCCTATAAGGTCCGAGCTGACTAGTTTCTGATCCGTGTAGGACAGCACACCATTCAGGTCGGACTCTGCGCGACATTTTATCTCGTTTGTTATTGTTTCAACGGTCACTTCGTTGCCAACACTGTACGTGGAACATTACAAATAATTAGTTATTATTAGACCATGTATACCTTGTAAATTATAATATCTAACGAGTATAATAATATAATATCTAAAATTTCCATTAGTTCTTTCCCTTCTACGATGGTGTGTATTTAATAAATAAAACAATGCAAATATGAAAAATCTGATGTTCTTTATTAACTCATTATACTATTTAAAATTTTTACTGTTGGCAAAATTTGGTCATTCGTCTATAAAGTACACATCATTATGGAGGTTACTGGTTTTACCAAATCACCTTTTAATGATTTAATATTTCGATGAAGTTAGAACAGTGACGTGATTTCAGTGTTTCGAGTACGGCAGTCGGCATGCTCTTATTAAATTGCCGACCAGTGACTCATTTTACCAAAGTGCCGATTAACGTGGAGGGAAGGGAACGTCAAACCACTTCAAAAATATTATTTGCATATTGTACATAAGTTCATGTACAGTACACATCATCATAATCCATATAAATATGGTGGACAATGGTTTATCGAGAAATAAAAATGTGAACAAACTATAAAAATATAATTACAACATTTATATGATAACTATTTCAATATGATATCAACATACAGTATAGGTATGAAAGTTACGGTATCTAACACAAAAATTTAAGTTTCAGTTTTACGTTATTTCTCATATAACTGAACGTTATTTTTACTATAAAGTTTAGCATATGTTAGCAAAAAATCTCTTTTTTTTAAAAACAAAGTTAATAGCGTACCATAAAATATTTATAGACCAACTGATAAATAGGGACAGAACTTATAGCGCAACTAAGTATACATATCCACTAGGGGCGGATAGACAAAAAAAATTACTGAGAAAATATTAATGGGGTGGGGATTCATTATTTTACAAATAGTATAGTCAGAGACAACAAAACTCTTTTTCTAATGAAACCTTAAAACACTAAAAACCCAATTACATAAATATTAGATATAGATGAAAGATGAATAATATAAAATAATTGAAATTAATAATGCAATAATTAAGTTTTTGAAAACTTGAAAATTTATTTTTATTGTATATGTTAAAGGTATTTCATACAAAATACAACTTGAAAAATTACATTTTGAATAAATGGTGTCACACTAAGCTTGACATTAAGAAGTAGCATATTATCAACTACATTTATATAAATAATCACATACCTAAAAAATAATATATAAATATTAATTAAAATTATTATTAATATTATTCAACATTTTTTTAAATTAATTTACAAAGAAGGAAAATTATTACAATTAAAATGTAATATCATTTTTAAAAATTAAAAATGTAACATTTTTTGTAGTAAAATACTTTTGTTGCAATAATATTAATAATATCCTCATTATCAAGATTTGGTATAATATCTTTTTTCATAGGCCATAAGCATGAAACATTCTAAATGCTCTTGTGTTAATGAATTCCTTAAAGCATTTTTTAATATTTTTAATTTTAAGAATGAACGTTCGCAAGATACTTGCATAACTGACAGAGTTAAAATTAATTTGTAACATAAAATTTATCCAGAATACGCTACGCTAAACAAATTATAATGAACTATTAACTTGTAGCAACAATTAATACAACTGTTTTCATCATGACTGTTACTACTTAACTCACATTTTTCATATTGATTTTCATCACTGCTATCAGAATCGTCTTTTATTTCATTTGTTAACTCAGAATAATGTGTCTGAATACTTTTGTTTACATTTTGTCATTTAGAATCTTTTAACTCAACTTGTGGATCATTTAATGTTAATGTAGATAAAAACGGTGAAATTAATTCAAATCCCTGTTTTAAAACAGTTGGCTGTACATTTTCAGTATGGTCTTGCAAATTTTTAGGATCAAGACATGAAAAGTCTGCACGTATTTTTCCGTATTTTGCACACTTTGTCATGTTTAGACTTTAAGATTTGGACTTTAAGTCCGTTATTATGAACGAATAAATAAATACCTTTTTTCAAAATTGTTAGTATTTCAATTAATTATATGGAATGAATTTATTTCATATGACAATAATGAGTCAGTCACAGGATTGTCTACTACCTCATAGGAAAATAATCTTTTTTTTTTTAATCCATATGAAGTAATAAGTAAAAATAAATTTAAGGCCCTAAATATTAAAAGCACTATGGATCCATCTTGAAAAAATGTACACAAAATGTAATTGGAAGGGGATTATACTGGGGCGCACCGGAAAAGTCCCGGTATTCCGGTGGGCTTATTCGCCCCTGATATCCACACAATATTGCAGTGTCGACATAGTCGCGCGCACCAACTATTAGAAATGTATAGACATGTTTTGCTAAACGAAAACTATTCAAATTCGTCACGTACCAGACAACGTTCCAATTGGCTTCAAATTATTGTGAATTAAAAGTTTTACTATTCACTCCTGACGTGTATAATATTCATAAAGAAGTATCTTGCGATATTTATTTACTAAAGATTCATGGGACCGACACTTAGTATACATTATATAACACACAACATTGTGCTTAAAAAACACAAAATAATATAAATACAACAAATTTAAATAAAGGTCATTAAAAATTTCATCATGCGTTGGGCGAGAGCTATTAAAAATTGTTTGTAGCATACACATAACATGTAGGATGGAGAAACTGTTTGCATGTTTACCAAGGTTACATTAATATTTGTGATATTATTAATTAAAATTGTTTAGTTTTCGTTATATGAGTCTTAAATTGTATTATAACACTATCTGTGCCCTTATTGTTTTTAATTGTCCTATATTAATGAGTGTATACCTATATTATTTAATAATATAGGTATTATATAATTAATATATATGATATAATCGCATTGATTTTTACTCACTTGATGTAGAGTTTTAATAATGACACGTCTAAAACAGGAACTCTAGCAGCGTCTCCTTTGACCTTGCCATTAAGCTGTGGTATCACCTTTCCGACTGCTTTTGCTGCCCCAGTGGTGCTGGGAATGATGTTAAACGGTCCTGATCTCTGCAAATACACAATATATAATAACTTCTAAGTATAAGGAACGCAGGATATAATGATTTTAAAAAGCATCCAAACACTTAATCTTAATTGCATTTAAAAAAATTAAGCCAAAACGAAAAAACAGTTGTATACAATATATAATTGATTTTATTGTATACTCATTATTAATAAAAAAATATGTAAAAATATGTACTGAAAAAAAATACGCTTCTTCATGTATATATTTTTGTTCTGTAGAACAAAAAAAAAGCAGAGGCTTCATGGATTTAGACCAAATATTTTTTCCTGCGCATTATGATTTTTTTGCCAAAAAAAAATTGTAAATAAATGATAAATTTATTTATAGATCTATGGACACGAACACGATCACATGTCCAAACTCGCATACATACTGTATGCACCTATACTAAAGCCCCTATCTTCGATAACGATAAATCTATTAATTGTTTTATAAGTATGTAAATGTAATTTATATAATAATTTAATGACATTTTTTTAATGTAATTGTGTAATGTAAATGTTTATTTACCAGTATTATTATCGATATACGATAAAAACTGATTGAACTAATCGTAGATATATATATTATTTTTTGTAAGTATGTCCGTCGCAGCCGTCTCGATCGATCGATTGCATTAATTTATTTCATAATAATTAACCCTCTAATAGAATAGACTGTAAACAATGTATCTATATATATATATAAAATATGCTTCACATATTGTATGGATTGGTGTGTCACGATCATTTTGTAGGAGATGAAGTGTGCTGCATTGTTAAAAGGGTTGAAAACTACTGATCTATATGGAACGTTATGAACAGGGCTAGGATTAGTATGCAACAGCATGTTTTTCTTGTGACTTCTGATTATTGATTTTGTCAGTAATGTAAACGAATCATCTCATGATGAGATAAATGGTGGTATTTTTATTTTGCATGTTTTTGTATATTTTGGATAAAATGTATATTATTGTATATTTCGTAACTAATATTTATAATTTAATATTAATACTAGTATACCTGTAGCAAAAGTTCGCAATAGATAATTTATTATGTTATAAAAAGTATAGGTGTATCGAATCAATACATAAACACATTTTAACAAATCAATAAATGAGTATAATATCGAAAATTGAAAGACATATTGAAATGACAGAGTGTTTATTAAAACTAATTGGTAAGAGTCAATGAGAATGCAGTATTAGGAAAAAATTGAAAGTAAAGTTGATTGTGCACACATAACTTTCCTCAAACTCAACGAATTTAAGCAGTTAATATCTCAAAAGAAAGAGAATGATCCACTGAGTGTTCTTTGACTTGTGTCAATAGCCTACGTTAATTAGAACTCTAGTTATAGAGGTTTGAGTGAAGGAAAATATTGAAAAAATCTTGAAAAAATTTATAATTATTTAATTTATAAAAATTGATAGAACGGCCAGACTTAGGTTAGGAACCAATTCTATTAAATAGACACGTTTAGATGTACTCACGTTTTTCAGACCGTCGTGCAATGGCTGAGACGCAGTCATAGCATGCGTCGTGGTTAACAGACAGCTTTGAACGTTAAAACCGTCGTGAATCACTTTGATCACGAGCGCCGCGCAATTGGTCGTGCACGAAGAGTTGGACACAACTTTCATCGACTGATCGTAAACGTCAAAGTTCACGCCTCTGACGAACATCGGTGCGTCTTTACTCGGAGCCGAGATGATCACTTTTTTCGCGCCCGCTTTTACATGTTTCTATACAGAGAAATTTATTTATCATTATACATCGTTCCGGGTTGCAACATTCGATCACGCAGCACTAACAGAACCGAAAATTTAGTCTCGGCAACAAAACGCGTGAAGATATATTTATTTTTTTTTAACTTCAGTAACAAATACAATTAAATAAAAGTAAAAAAATTAAGATGCCAAAATGAAAATGAATTAATTACCATAAGTAACCGTAAAAAATTAACTAAGGTTAATCGTCTAGTTTCGCTGATCCGAGAATCCCGGCCAACAGATAGTCGTGGTTATAGGAATAAGTGGAATGAATGATGAAACGTAACAAGGATATTGATTTTTAAAATGTTTATACATCATCACAGTAACATGTGTGTATGGGTGATTTATGGAATCGAACGTGACGTAAAATGTATAGTTATAATATGATTCAAAAATATCAAAAATGTTTTACCATCGCTTGGTCCTTTTCAGTGTATTTACCCGTGGCGTCAATCACGTAATCAACGAGCAAATCGCTCCATTTGATCTTTTCCGGGTTCTCCTCGTGGAAAACTTTCATATCGTGACCTGCGCACACAACAGGTTGATCGGAATAAATACTCGTGAATAAACATGTTATAAAACCCTAGCGAACGCTAAAGCCGTGAACGCGGGAGTGAGAGGGGTTGGCTAAACTCTCTCACCCCGAAATATCAGAAAAAATGCTTTAAAATAATTACCTAACCTACTAATATAATAGTTGGATCAAAGTTTCCCATGGGACTTACAAATAAATATATATTATATAATGAGCAATAAAGCATTTATCAAGCTATTTATCAACATTTTACATATTATATTTTTCAAACTCCCTCCCCCGAAATGTTTTCCTGCGTTAGCCCCTGGAACGCTAACGAGTTCTGAGTCGTAAATTGATTCTCTCGCATTACATTGATTCACATACCCTTGATTCTCAACTTCTGGTCGTGTACTTCGATTTTCTCTCCGAACGGCCCGTGTACCGTGTCATACTTCAACGAGTCTGCGATCGATTTCACGTCGACGAATGGTTGATTTATCGCGACGATCTACAAAATATTCGACCCGCGTCGCGGTGTAAAAAACAAGTGTCCATTATAAAAATGTTCAAGGGAGAACAAGAGTGCTAAAGATAGCATAGTTTGTTGATAAAAAATGTATTTATAAAACAAAAAAAAGTAGTGGGGTATTCAATTTTTACCGCAGTATGTATTACACCCCTCTTGTCGCCCTCTTAAAATAATCACTGTATTTAGTTTAACGCTAAATCAGTCATCACGTTCGTGCCTCACCGAACCCAAATTTCAAGTGCTTCGACGAAATAATGATAATTATGAAATTAAAAAATGAGTTTGGTCCACAATGTACGAGTACAGATACGATATAATTACGTCCACGTTATTTTCGAATGATAGCCTCGTGAGACATTTTCCTATGCGGCCGAATCCGTTAACGCCCACCCTTGGACGACTACAAATTGGTCTTGTAAAAATATGTTTCATTCCTGTGAAGACCGTTGAAGTTGCGTTTCTCAGCATTTTTGTTGTTTATAAATATACAGATAAATGATTCACAAAAATAAATGTTTTTATATTATAAGTAAGTTCTATAGCGTCTCCTAGCATACGTATCCATGGGTTCCACGTCAAAATATTTCCGGTAAAAATATATTTTACTAATAATATATTTTAAATATAATAAGATATCTCTCCGTTAAAATATATCCGACACAAAATATCTTCGGTTATAATCAATGTTGTGATTTAGATAAATTTATCTAGATATGTTATCTAGATAAAAAATAAAATTGACATCTAATTTTCATCTAGATAAAAATCATAGCCATCTAGATAATTCACAAAATCTGTAGGTAATCATTGGTAATAACTAAAGACCGGATTTATATGTTTTTACATATCGTTACTTGGTCTATACAGTTGTATGAAAGTAAAAAATGTGGACGATTCATTCAATTCTGAGTATGTAAAAAAAGTTTTTTTTGCATATTTGAGAATATCTCATAGGTTAGAGAATATTTAGCCCATTTAGCATATTTTAAAATATTTGATTTTTTTTTCATAGTTGGAGATTGTACAAACTGTTATCTGCAAACTAACCAATAAACCTGGTGAAATGGGTATCGTATTAAAAATACTTAAGTGTCTCAAATAAGTTAAAAAAATAAAGGTTACCAAATGTTAGCAAAAGTTGGGAACATTTTATGTGGAAACAATGAAGATCTCCCAGAATATTTTACACCTAATGTAGTTGTTGACATGAAGCTTACACCTCTAATATCTATTGATTTTGAACGTTCATTTAGTCTCTATAAACACATTTTAAGCGATAAAAGAACTAACATGAGTACAGATAATATGTAAAATATATTATTGTTAATTCATATAACAAAATTTAAGTAGTATTTCAAGTTTCTTTTATATTCTTCAGAAAGTAAATATTTACCATTGTATGCACCAAAGAAATATTGTTTTTTTTATACATGTATATATACCTATATTGTTATTTTATATCTTGTATTAAATTATTATTATTTAAAGATTACCTTTTGTTAACCAATTTTTTTTGTTTTATTATATTTTAATATATATATATATGATTATTTGTTATTTTTAATATTGTGACAATAGTGTTAATACAACATTTAATTAAAATATACCAAAGGAATATTGTTTTTAAATTTTAATACTGTAGACTAGGGATCGCCAATCAGTCGATCGTTGTAAAATTTAATTTTACTACAATTGGTCGATCGCGTAAAATAATCAGATTAATTGGATTATGGGAATATTAGATTTAAAGATTAAAGATCTAAATTTTCCTGGATGTCAATCACTAGGGACTTAAGAGCACGTAAAGGTACGGTTTCCAAGCTGCGGCTGGCCGCAACGATCAGCCACAACGATCAGCCGTAACGACTAAACGTTGCGTGCCGACTGGTTTCCTAAATACGACTAGACGTTGCGGCCGGAGTTCATTTTACCCTAATATTGTGTAGAGTACAGACGTGTTTTTTGGTAAATAATTTATTTATTATACTAGTTTTGTTGTTAATTGTTAGTTTGTTAACAAAGTATAGTGATGGAAGAAGTTATTGATAATATAATATAATATCTTTATGTATTCGTGGGAGATATAATACAATACGGATTGCTTCTCAACTTCTTCCACCAAAACTTCATCATTGTTCGACGAAAATGTAGATTTTGACATAGTTTTTAATTAAAATGCAAAAAATACAATAAAACACTATATGACACGCACCACGACTCACGCAATGTACTGATACCAGACCACTATAGCCGCGAGCCGCAACGACTATTTAAATCACGCAATCGTCGATCGCACGTTGGAAACCACGCTCCGCAATTTTAAATAGCACAGTCAGACTACGTGTGCCGTTGCGGCCAGCCGCAGCTTGGAAACCGTACCTTAACACTCACGTATTTTCCGTTAAAATACATATTCCAGTAGAATAGCTCTCATTTGGATTACAGTAGTCGTACAATTATTAAATTTTGCAAACATAAGTATGACAATATTATTCGTGTTTTTACGTTGGTTTTTTTCAATAGCTATAATACATTCATTTTTATTACCTGTGTAAGAAGATAGTTTTTTGCAATATTTTTTGCATCATATAAACTGACCGAGTTGACTTATTTATTATTTCCAACATACAAACACAGATAATATTGACATCTTTATTTAGGTTAAGTTTAGTTTCTTTACGTTGATTGTAAATTAAATGAGAGCTGTTCTCTTGAGACATGTTTTTACTGTTTTTAGACATTTTGATTCATATTTACAATCGTCAAATGTAGCTCACTGGTTTGAAAACGTTGGCGACCCCTGTTATAGACTATACTGTAATATTTTTACTATATTCCTACTCTTACTGAAGTACAATAGTATTCTATTATAATACGTAACTACGTATATACCTCATGATTAAAAGAATGTTTTAAAAAAAAAAATTTTTTTTAAAAATGCATATTAAACCATATATTGATGTTTGTTGATTATTTTTACATATTTTTAAGATTTTTAAGAAAATATAATAAGAATATTTGAAGGCTTTTTAGAGAATATTAGCATCACACTTAAGGTATTTTGAGAGAATATAAATCCGGTCTTTTGTAATAACTAATCTATAATTTTATCATTCAATACAAAATAAATAACTAAATATGAAATTTCATTTGTATATTTACTCGCAAAAATTGGTTCTAAAATAGTTTTACATAGCATTTATTATTAATTAAAAACAATTATTTTATTATGTATATAAACATATATTACTTACAATATATGCATGGGAGGTGAGAATTATTTATAATTTCTTTGTATGGCTCATACGGGGAAGTCTCATGACATACGCTTTACGCATTACGCTGTACCTATACAGAAATTAATCATTCTCCATCACCATTCGACCGCCTTAAATTCAATATTTATATATAAATTATGTCCATTGTTCATATAATCATGTGCTCTAAATAATTGTCATTACCGGACCCCAATTCTATGAATTCGTACTTTGATGTGTCTATATAATATTATTGCACAACAAAATAAATATTAGGCGAGAAACGTCCGTTATTTATTAAAAACTTGTACTGACGCAGCGCAATCTCATCCACAACGTGTTCAGTGTTTATCGTCAAACCGTCTTCATATTTTTCATAATTTTGTCTATGACTTTCAATTTTATTTTATTGGTGAAATATTTTATATTTTGAAATGGATCGTTACATAATACAATCATAACCCAAGACCAAAAGAGTTCACCTACAAACGGATGAAAACGTTGATGCCTTATATAAATATCTAGATAAAAATTATTTTATCTATTTATATCTAGATAAAAGTCATTTTATGTATCTATATCTATATAAATTCAATTTCTACAGTATCTATCTATATCTAGATAATTTTTTTTTTATCTAAGCACAACACTGGTAATAATATCTCTGGTACAAATAATTTTAAGAGAAAACAATGAACATTTTTAATGTAGATATTATACAGCAGCATATTAAACAAATATAATATAACAAGTATTAATAATATATACCGAATAAGATAATTTCTAAGAGAAATTTAGAAATGTATTATGTTTTAATTATAACTCTTTTGAGGTTGTTTCGTGAATGAAAATTATCGTTTATCTGTAAGGTTTGCTGATAAAGACGAGCTGAATTTTGAATTTTGCAATATCGATAACATTTAAGTGTACCAACGTGATATGTGACAATCATATTGTAATATCAATACGGTTTGAAATTTTATACGATTTGTATTAAATTTGTAAAAATGCCTTGAAAATTTATTAAAAGTCAGATAAGTAAAGAGCTTTTACTACATAACGGATACTTGCATGTATTTTATAAAAAGGGTTGTGATAAATTTATATGGCGTTGTGTCGATTAGTGGCGTATTTGAAACGTTTAAATTTGTATAACCATTGATTATAAATACTAGTAAAATATTAGTAAATACTAGTATTTATAGTCAATAGTATAACGTTTAAACGCTTAAATTGAATAACGTTTAAATTATTTATAGCGTTAAACGCTCAATTGCTTATAACGTTTATATGCTCCATAACGATAAATAATATATATTATTTTGATTAAAGGCCCAGTCCATACTTAGTGAAAAATTAGATAAAACACAGATAGGTGTAAAAAAAGAACTACACAAAAGACCATTCTAAGTGGATCCAGCATCAGATTAAAAAAAAAAAAAAACCACAAATATTTAGGATTCACCTGATATAAATATTACCAAAAATTTTACTTGTAAATTTTGAGCCTGAATTAAAGAAAAAATTTGAGTCCCCCCCCTGGAAATAAGTCTAAATACGCCCCTGCATGCAAATGCATAAACTTACGAGACCTGATTATGAGTATTTAATAAGTTTTTTAAAAATATAAGTTAAACAATTGTATTTTAACTCTTAAATTTATTATTTAATCAAGAAAATAGTACCAGAGGCGTATTTATGGAATGGGTCCATGGGGCCCGTGCCCTTCCCCATTCACCGTATTTTATACTTCATTTATTATTATAGGCCCTCTTATTTTTCACGCACGGGCATACGGTGAAATACTGGGACATCAATATATTATAATAATATGATACCATTGATGAAACGGATTAGCATTGCTTAATATACACCCTAAAATAATTATAAAACCAGAAGTAGTTGATGCATATGCTAATAAAACACTACAGACGTTATTGTAATTACAAAAATTATATTTAAAAATGTGTTTTATTATAAATTTGGGTAATAAAATGTTATGTTTCTATCAAACACTTGTATTTTGATTATTTGGTTATGAATAACGACAGTTTTTTGAGTTGGAAAAGTTACAACTATGTATACTTTGAACTTTTTGTTTTTCCCCCCTCCCATAAGACATATCTAAATACGCCCCTGAATATTATACTATACAGATAATAAGGTGTGCGACAGATGGCAGCTTTAGAGGGAAAAAAAATATTTCAATGTTTTTAAACATCTATGGTTTTCCGCCGATACATCGAACACATCGATATTTTAAAAACCAATGTTTCGATACATTGAATATCGATGTTCAAACAATTTTGCTCATCTCTAGTTCGTAGATATTATATACAGAGGCAGATCTAGAAATATGAAATGAGGGGGGGGGGGCAAATTTGTATTTACAGAAAGACAAAATATATAATTCCTGTTTATACATATGTATATTAGTTATAATATATTTTCATATGATAAAATATAAAAAATTAATAAGTTAATTAATAATCTTATGACCAATCTTCAATTAAAGATATAGTTATTAAGTGTTTATTACAAACTTACATTATATACATATTAAAAATGTGTCAAAACCTACACCAGGGGTGGCCAAATTGAGGCTCGCGAGCCGCATGCAGCCCTCGTCGTAGTCGTATGCGGCTTGTGGTCTTATTTACAAAAACCAAAATATTTTAATTTTTTTTGTGTACATTTATAAAAAAAAAATTTATTGCATAGATATAAGGCTATAGCGTACAGATTAATAAACAAAAAAAAAATTAATTTATATGAATAATAAATTAAAAAATTAAACATAAAATTAAATTTGTTTGCGTGGTATTTTTTTCATGTCTACTTTTTTAGTAAGCTTTTTAAGATCCGGTTAGTTATAAAACGATAGTATGTTTATCGACCGTTAGCTTTCTTAATTAATTTTGTAGTATAAAAGTACCGATTAGATAATTTGACTTTTAATATATTCTTATTAATACATTCAAATAACTTGAAGTGGTTGATTAAAAATTAACTGTTTTATAATCGAATTGGATTGATAATTGTCACTGGATTAACTTTATATTTATGTAGACAAATTAATCATTCTCTAGCTATATATTTATACATAACTCAAAGTCCTCGTATTTTCATAATAGTAAATAGCTAGCTGGAAAGTGAAATAGGGACATAAGCGGTAAAATAAATGACACGACTTTGTTAATACGGAGTAATTATATATTCTTACCACATGTACATTGTAACAACTTGTATTACGAGCGTATACAAATATACATTAAACATATAACGTATAACACGAGTAAGATATAATAAATGTTGTATTATATGGTTATTAAGAGTTAAATAAGGACAAGTTGAAGGTCAAAAAATGTCCAACAAGAATATAATTTTTTTCGTTAAACAAACAATAGCGGATCTCTGTCAACGTTCGAGATGCACACCCTTAACTGCGGAATTTTCTGTGACAAATTGTCAGCGAACACTTTCAAATAACCCCGCTCAGTATTGCTGTGGTTGGCCAGAATTACTGTCACGTTGTTGTGCACCGCGTCCAATATTTCATGATGAGACATTTCGCCAGTCAGGTACAAATCGGCGTTAACACCGTTTAATACGGACGCACCAGAACCGGCAACAGTGGCTGCTGAGTTGATCGTGGACTCTGCAAATATGCAATAACGTGATATTGAGAAAATATTACACAGTTAATTGAGTGATCTGTAGCGTTAATAATAATTCTATAATTCAAACATTCAATGTATTTTTCTAATAACTAAATTATTGATATCATATTTGGTAGCCGTTGTTACTGTGAAGACAGTACTCTGAATTATTTTCTATCACATACGACATAGTTCTATCTAGCTTATTTAATGGGTTTGAAATATATTTTCCTTAACATGCATTCTCTAATCAAATTATATGTCTATGACAATATGATTGAATTAAAGAATTAAAATCGATCATCGAGTAAATCTCTATTTTATAAAAAAAAAAAACATGAATATTTTACACGTTATTTAAAAGAAACGATGAATAGTCCATTATTTTTCTCTATATGCTTATCAGTAACGCATTTAAGAATCGTTTCTCCTAAATATCCTATTTATAAAAGTAGTTATATCTATAAGCTTTCAAGGCTATTGCACGCAAATGTATGTTACAGGATTCAACTGTGATATTCATGAAATATTTCTAGATTTATAGTAAAACTTAATTTTATTCGTAATATTATAACATTAAAAAAATTGCACCGCAGCAATACAAAATGGGATGAAATATTGTACTAAACGAACGGCGTCTTGTATAGACAATTCAAGTACATCCGTGACGAACAAACGATTTTTACGCAGTAAAAATGTACGAACATTGATTTAAGCTATAACTAGTGATGGGCATATCCGGATTTCATGGATAATCCGACTATCCGGATTATTCAATTCAATTTTTCTGTTCAATTACAAATACTATTCCTACAATATATCTCCACATGGTGCTTTTTAATACTTAAAGATAATTTTTATTTGATAATTGTAAGATAAACATCGATAACAATTATTATTGTATCATTATACAATATATGTATTGTATTGTAGTATAAATTCAACTTATCTTCAGAATTTTAGTATTTAGTCGTAGCACTGTAAGTCATAGAGCAGCGGTTCTTAACCTTTTGTAGATCATGCACCCCTGATGAAAGATTTTTAGAAATTGCGGACCACCTTTTTTTAATTTTAACTAATTTGACTAATTTCTTTTTCGAATACTTTTTTTTACAAAATATCTCATGTTATTAAAACCAAAATTATAATTACTATTTTATATAATAAATTACATTAATAGACAACAAAACATACATACTTATAATTATTTTTATTTCACATAATTTTTCAGTTAACTTAAATTTAATTACTTTAGTTTTCATTTCCTTTTTTTGATATTCTTAAAATTTAATTTTTATTAGCTTAATACATTGGTAGAGACACACGTTTTGTAACATCGTATAATGATAAAATCTATCTATTATATAATAAAAATATATGAAAAAAATAATAATAATATTAATCCAACAATATTATAATGCACTCATGGCATATATTGATGTACATATATTATGTGTTAGGGCTTTCGCGGACCCCCGACATGAGTATCACAAACCCCTAGAGGGCCATGGACCACAGGTTAAGAACCGCTGTCATAGAGGTATAAAGTAAACCCAATGATTTAATAAATTGTAATTTTGGTAATTAATAATACATTATAAAAACTGTTGAAATTCATAAAATAGAATATTAATTTGTTGTTACAATAAAATAAAATAATTTATTTTAAAAGAAATTAAAAATAATTTTAAGTTATACAAAAAACAAATTCATAAATCCGAATAAGAATTTGATTCAAATCCGGATTTCATGCCCATCCCTAGTTATAACATTTTATAATTTACTATGCATTATTATTCTACTCAATAATCAATGGAAATGAGCACATTTTTATTGTTTCATATTAAAATAATATTTTACACTATGAAATACTACCCACACCAAATATTATTTTTGTTTTCATTTTTTGACAGGAATTTTTTCCATCACGCCCTCATCTAAAGATCTGAGAATAAAATTTACTTAAATTAAATCACAATGTAGCAACATTACTCTCTTCCGTATGACTTTACCGACACTATCTCACTAATCACCAAAAACAAGAAATAAAACTTCTACCTTAGCTTTCTTCGCAGTTTACTCTCCTCATACTTCATGGGCTTCTTTATATCCATAAAACTTTAACTACTTGTATATAGAACTACTGGTGTAAACATAAATTACATAATAAATGCATAAATACCCAATGTTGATCCTCTGGCCAGTGCAACCATTAGATTATTGACTTTTAAATGACATTTTACTCGTTGAATAACGTTTCTGATTGTCAAGCCTTCTCTAAAATGACAAAGTCGTCCAGTACCCACATCTGTCTCTGGAATCTGAGGATAAATTGCTTTGTTAATTATATGTGTTACATTATAACATCAGTATGGACACTGCACATAAGCAGTCTAATCACTAGAAACTTCATACATACTGACCATTTCATTTTTTTGAACAAACGCAGACATATAGTGATACTTAGTCATTTCGTTAAATAACGACAAGATATTTGAATTACACAACAATTTAAGTTGAGTATGTCCGGTACTTAAAATCCTGTAAAACAAGATCATATTTATAATATTAATAAATATTTATATTTTAGATAATATTTTAAAATCAAGATAGAAATAAGTAAATTATATAAAAAATAAATAGAATCTTATTATACTTTAAATCATTGTTAAGTTTGAATTGAGGGTAAAGTTCCATGAATGCATTGACTACTATCAATGGCGAATCTTCACACGTGTCCGATACCACAGTCACAATATGACTAAATTCAGGATTTTCACTATGCGGTTGTAATACAGTTACACTACCGTCTAAAAATGATAAATATAATATAAATTCATATTTTACTAGGTTTATAAGATATTCATTATTAATTTATCTCAACAGTCAAACATATATTTGTCACGTGAAAACACAATTTTTTATAAAACCAATGCATTGAATGTAATTTTTAATTTGAAAATAAATAATTCTTACCAAAACAACTTATTAACCAATCGGTTAAACCTTCCTTTACAGCATCCCATGAAGTATGAGGAGAATAAACTGCAATTCCCTGGCTTAAACAACGGCTTGTGATACGGTCCTGAACGTAAACAATTGAAAAAAGTATTAAATTTATTATTAATAAACATCTTAACACATCACAAATTATATGATTGGATCACAATACTTTAAATACCAGTATTCAATAAGTGATAGAATTTTAACAAACAAATAATAATATAAATTAATAATTAATTAACAATTAATAATAAATTAACAAATTTTAATTATAATTTAATATTAGGAAAATGTATTTAAGATATAATATTTAACTTTCATACAATTAAATATCAAGGCATTCCTCTATAAAGAAAATATGAAAAAGCGTTCACTTTTTGACAATATGTCTAAAATAAAGGATTCAAAAGTTAGATTCCTCAACACATTTTAACCTCAAGTAAGTGCAAAAAAATAAAAAATAAACGTTTTCTCGTACCTTCCAATTTTTTAAAATAATCCTTTTGAACGGTTTGAATAATGGAGGATGGTAGGATATAATGAGATTAGCTTTAGCATTCTGGGCTTCTTCAAGTACATCTTCAGTCAGATCGTTGGTAAGGAAAACACATTCTATTGATTTCTTGACATCTGGTTCGATCAACAAACCTACGTTGTCCCACGACTCTGCTAGTGATAAGGGTGCCATTTTTTCTAATGTAGACACAACTTCTTTTAAGTTCGCCATCTTCGATATGTTACGTAATTGATTGAATACACAATGACTCGAAAGACTACCAGATGCTCCTATAAAATGAATTTGATAAAAAATTAATATTACTTACATACAGTTGATCGACCAACTGTTACAAAAACTCAGCCTCATTAAAAAACAGTTGCTTATAATAGATTCATAGTACAATACATGGTACTTTTCGGTTATCGTACCAAAACGGTCGGCCGCCGGCGGTGGTGGCCGAGATATACCGATTCCCGTTATCGTACCCCATTATATTTATCTCGATATTGTCACGTTTCATTGCCAAAAATCAGTTCTCTGATCGATCTATAGCTCGTTTTAATTACGATATGTTATGTTCAGTGTGCAATGACGCAGAAAGTGCTATACGCTTTTTACAAGACCGCGGAGTGCTTCATCGTAATAGTACTTGTAAAAACGGTCACGATATGTTGATACGGTACGGGACTAAACCACTGTGGTCATGCAACATTTCCAAGTGCAAGGATACTACGGTATTCGTACAAACACTTGGTTAGATTCTTACACAAGTGAATTTCTTTGGCGACAAAAACATAAAAAAAACCATCTGCTTATTTACCCAAATTATAAACGACATTGTTAAATGCATGCCTCCTTCATAAAAATATTTTTTATTTTCAATAATGTTTTGGTATTCATATTTTATTATATTTTATTGGTATTCATATTATTATATTATTTTATTAAAATAAATTATATTTTTGGCAATGAAACGTGACAATATTGAGATAAATATAATGGAGTACGATAACGAAATCGGTATTTCCCGGCCGCCTGTTGGGGTACGATAACCGAAAAGTACCCTTTAATTAAAAGAATGGAAAAATGTTTGTATTCATCTGTCTGTATATATAAAATGACTTGTCCAGGGTGATTTATCATCGCCTAGCCGGAACCGCTGAAGCTATGAGTATGACATTTGGACAGTAGTTTTGTTTCGTGTTGTAGACATCCACTAAGAAAGGATTTCAAAATTTAACCCCTAAAGAGGTTAAAAAGGTTAATAGAGGTAAGAATGGAAAAAATCACCTAGCTCGTTAGAATCGATACGAATCATTGAAGCTATGAGTATGAAATTTAGTCAATAAGTTAATTTTATGATACAAAAAACCCCGAAGAAAATATATTTCGAAATTCAACCCTTACAGGGGTTGAAAAGGGTAAAAATGTAATAATTTATAAAAAATTATATTTTTATATACACCTTAGTCAATGCATTTGCTATAATTATTTAAGTAGTTATTGTTAAAACTTATCATAAAGATATTACAGATACATTGTTTATTATACCTGTTTGTTAAAATTAATATAATACATTTAATGAGACAACCCATAGTTAATATATCTTGGATATAATATATCAAAATTAATATATTATATAAATGCCTATATTTCACATTTTATCGATAACATATGAAACTGATAAAATAAAAAGTTATCCATAGGTAACACAAAAACTGCACTTGAGCAAAGTCAGGTTATTTAGCTAGTATTATATATGATCCTGAGGGTTCAAATTTTAATACAGTAATTATTGCTGATTAAAACCATTGAATCTTGTAGGAGAGTATACGTCTTGTTCATTATAGATTAATTACATATTATACTTGGTTGACCAAGTTCTCTTTTTCAAATCATGAAAACAATTTACATGAATTATTGATTCCAAAATTGATTTATAGGTTTTCTATGAAAACATTAAAAAATGTCTAGCAATACCATTGCCAAGTTGTTAACAAATGAAAAATATAATATGCAATTATATTTCACTGTTTTATATGGATGAAAAATATATAAATTTATATATTCATGTGTTTCAATAGGTAAAAATGTATAAATTTATATGTAAGGTTGAAAAGCAAAATTATTAATGTAAACAATTTTTAAACGAAATAAAAGTATTTGTTTTTACTTTTCCTATATATTTTATATATAAAATATAAAAAATAATATGAAAAGAACAAAAAATAAATTATTGATTCAAACATCTTATAAAATCATTATTATAAACCTCATATTTATAGAAATATTACATTCTTTATTGTACTAATTTAGGTCATACTATTGTTCAATAACCACAATACAAAAAATTTTTTTTTTTATTTAATAGTATACTAAATAAAAAATAGCACTAAATTCTATTTAAACATTAAACACAGTTTGTTTTTGAAGTTATATTTAATTTAAAAAAAATTTCATTAACAAGATTGACAAATTTAACATTTCCTTATCGATAAATACTTTATAAAAATAATTATTAAATAATATTGTTTTTCAAATCTACCAAATCATATATTTCCCATATTTATTTAAAAATAGTAGAATATAAAAGAAAGTATATTAAGTACTTTAATATCAAACTCTAATGTACACATCCAACAATGAAAAACACTTCTTTTATAATAATATTATTATATCGCATTTTCAGTGTATTAACAGTATATTTATATTAAAAATTACTATTTAATATAGAATACAATAATATAAAATTATAACAGTACACAAATTAAACAATACTTAAATTGCTGTTATTATTGATTTATGTAGACTCCATTTTCCAAATTTTCACCAAACTATCGTCACTACAAGATGCTAATACTCCTTTTACAACAGGATTCCATTGAACAGAATTTATATCTTGTAAATGAGCTTCATAAACATGAGCAATACATGAAAATGAAGGTTGATTATGATCTGATAAATCATCTTCCTTAAATATTCTAATAGAATTGTCTCCGCATGCTGTGGCAATTAAGTCTGTCAAATGGCACCAAGTAACATCGTAAATAGGTCTTGTATGAAATCCACTTATCGTACAAACACACTTATATACAAAGTTACCATCTTTAACTGAAATACCTTCAGCATTACCTGCAATTAATTAATTCACAATGTTAAATTAAATATTTTATTCAAATAATAAAATTTATGTACCTGGTAGATACTTTTGCCATATTTTTAATGTCCGATCATCACTACTTGTTACAATTCTATCACCACTTTTATCAAATGCTAAACTCCACACAGTTGATGTGTGTGAACTCAACGTACCGACGCAAGTCCACTCTTTGTCAGCTGGATCTTCCATATATAATTTCACAGTGTTATCATAGCTAGCAGACGCCAATATATCTTCTTGAGGATGCCATACTACTTTCTTTACATCTTGTGAATGTGCATTTAAAACAGCAGCACACTCATACTCATTATCTTCCCAAACTTCCCAAATCCATACAGATTTATCACGACTACAAGTCGCCAACATTGAGCCTGATCTAGACCAAGCTACACTTTTAATTTCATTTTCATGACCTTCCAGAGTGGCATTACATTCAAACTGTCCAGATTTATTATCCCAAATAGCTACTGTAGCATCAAAACTAGCTGAGACTAAATTTTGACCACAGTATGACCATGCAATAGCTCTGATAGTACGTTGATGTCCATCAGCTAGCAAACATTTTAAAGAACTTTTATCACCTTCTTTATAATTCCACAGTCTAATGGTTTTATCTTCACCACAAGAAGCCAACATTATTCCTTTTGGATGCCATGACACATTCCATACGATACCAAAATGACCTTTTAATGAAGTTATCAATTTCAGCTTTTCTGTCATTGTAAAAACTAATCTTCTGAAAAATAAAAATTTAAATACATTATTTGGTAATCAAAACCATGTATAATTTATAAAATGAGAATAATTAATATGACCTAATAAATAAATTGTATATTGGTTTCATACCTACATTGAGTACACTTACACAATTCAAACATCAAATAACTAAAAGACTATCAACTCTGAACACTTCTATGAAATATAAAATAAAATAATATGACTGAGAAAGGTATTTTAGATACACTTGTTCATTTATATTTATTAAATATGATCACAAAACAAAACAAAAAATGTTTCAAAAATGGAAAAAGGGAATCAAATTCTAAATTGTAGTTTTTTTTATTAATGCAAAAAAGCAAACATTACAGCAGGTAACATAATGCAAATAGTACATTTGACAATATATAGTCCTATTAAATTAAAAACCTGTAAATCTGTCCCTTTGCTACTTACTTATCTATACAGGCATGTTTTGGTGGCTTAGCTATATTTCTGATAGTTGACACAGTTTCGAACGATTAAAAGTTGAAAAAAATACAACGAGGATAGATGTAATGGTATAATGTCAAGTACAGTTACTAGTCGACCAATGAATATTATGATTATTTACCTCTTATGCAACTATAGATGCTGTTTGAAACCTTCGCCAACATAAATAATTATACCTTAGAAAATTGGTCACGAGAAAAAAAACGACTCAAAGGTTCACACAAATCCGCATCACAAAGAATTTCACTTGTTCGGTGTTAACGATCTCGCAGTGAACAATATTTTACCTTTTCGCGCATGAAACACTTATCACTTGGGTATTGTAATATGATAAGTAAATACCACGCACGATTATAAGAAGTTCTTTATAATCGTGGTACCACGGTAGATTATCATATACCTCGCATTGTATGTAGATAATACCACAGATTATATATGAATATAATATAGGTACCTACCTATATATATAAATATAAAATAATATATAATATATTATATTCATGTAATCTGTGATAATCCATTAATTATATAATCAATGATAATACCTTTATTAATAATTATACCATGATAATAAATCATTACACTAGAGCGCGCGCTCAGTATCGAAAAACAAATTTTATTTTAAATCAACTACCGGTCAATATAAACGTTGGAATGAATATAAAAATAAAATTACTGAACTTATATAAAATATGTTAAAATCCGTCATTCAAATTTAATTTAAAAAATGACCTAATTTAAATTATTACTATTTAATAATAATAATTACGGCGATAGTTCGTTAAAACTTGGTAGTATATTTTAAGCATAAGTAGTCTATTTATAACCCGTACCAGGTACCAAGTACCTATCGAATATATGTGCATATAAACCGTAGACATGGTATAAATTATGTCTATGGTGCAAACGAGTTTTTGTCAAAGGTAGCTAAAATGTATGTGGGCAATCAAGTTGTGTTGTTTTTGAGCAAAGGAGTTGTGAAAAGTTAAATTTTCGAAAAGCAGTTGTAACCGGTTCAGAAGTCGCTTGCTCCATTAGATGTCAGTGTGAAAGTAGAACGTACACAACGCGCTAGAGACAGCATTGCGCGCGGTATTTTAGCTGCAACTTGTAACGACGTCCATTTTCGCCGCTACGTGGGCACGCGTGACGCCAGGTTGACACGAAGTTATGAACTGGTCAAGAACACTATAAGCCGGTTGGAATCGTGATCCAGAGGTCGAGGCAGTGGGTAGTCGTCAACGATTAAGAATACGTCGGAACCAGGGCCGTATTAGCGCATAGGCACTACAGTCACTGTGCCTACGATTTTTTTGTTGTATGTAAATTGCTTTACACAATTTTTTTTATGATATTTGAAAATGTATGTTGCATATGTTTTGGATTAAAATGAATTTATTTTAATATTTGTTAAAACTTTTATCGTATAATAATGTATAATAGTTATCACTTAAAAGTTTAG